TTGCTTACACATGTGCGCTCTCTCTCTCTCTCTCTCTCTCTCTCAAATAAATAAACCTTAACAAAAAAAAAAAAAGAGAGAGAGAGAGAACCAAGATTCAATCAGAATTAAAACTATCTACTGTGCAACCAAGAATAAAGTTAAAATGTAGATATGAAGACAGAGAAATATCTTTAATCCTGTCCATAATTAATCCTGTGGATTTAACTATTTGGGAGCAAAGGGCAGTTAAGGAGACATAAATAGAAGAGGAGGAGGAGAAAAAGGAAGGGACAGAGTGAGAGGGAAGTAAGAGAGAGGAAAGAGTATCAGAGAGGAGAAAGAAGGAGGGAGGCTGAAGGAAAGAGAGAGAGAGAGGAAAAGAAAAGAGAAGGTTCTATCTCTCAAAATTATGGACGGAAAAAATATCTATCCCTTCCTCCTCAAAACCCAACTAGCTATTTTCCCTATCTCTTTGTATATAAAAATCTGGTAACAATGCAAGATAAAAACCTGGACCTGCATCTAAGTAAATGTGTTGTGTTCTCTTTCCTCTTAATAAATAGTTCCCATGGCATTGATGGTGGTGTTGGGGGTATGAGAATGGGAACTATGTAAAAACACAACTGGGAAACAGAGGTCCCAGTTTTCATTCCTGTCTCTGATAGTAGTAAGTGTACAATTCTGGACAAAGTTACCTACATTAGTCTAAGCCTCAATCTCCTTGTTGCTAAAATAACAATGTTAGACAATATCAGGTGCAAAAACACAGTAATCTCTCTTTTCTGGAGCTTCTCTTTAAATAAATATGGAATAAATGCTGCAAGTTCTATGCCACTTAGGATTTTTAAAACTTCAACTAACAGAACACATGACTAAAAGTGCCACAATCAGCAAATGAGTATGATCTGACATCACAAGAAAACGACAATAGCATAATCAGGAATTTAGGTGTTTTCCTTCTTTCGCTATCCCATTTTTAGCTTGTCAACCATAGCTCATGATTCCAAGGTGGAAGTAGCAGTTCTGGCAATGATATGTAAATATTGTAATGTTGAACAAAGTAGAATAGTTGCCTACTATGAGCCTTTCTCAGTTAGATATGGACAAATTTTCCAGAAATTTCTCATGGGTGTCCCCTCAGATTTCATTCATCATGGTGCAGTTATATGCCCATGAATAAAACTGTCGTTGGCATAAGGAATGGATGGAGAAGATACCAACTTTCCTGAGAAAGTGGAGAGTTATTCTCAAATAAAATTCGGCCAGCATGGAAAAATTAATTAAGGTGAGAGAGTAGATTAAAAAAAAAAGTGCAACAAAATATATCCTTATCAAAGACAGCAAGTGGTTCCATGCATGGGTAAGTTTAGGGAACCCTGAACTAAACAGTTACTAAGGAGCCTTCTCATTTACAAGATTTGATTACTATGATTTAAGCAAAGTTAAACGTTCTAGCTTTTGACAATAATTTATTTAATAGAGATGAAGTGTGAAATTATTATATCACAGTAAGCCAGTTCATTTCAAAAGTGAAAAACCAGCTATACAGAATAACTTCTACTAAACTTTGAGCCTGAATAGTGGCACAGACATTCAGGAGGACTATCATTCCTCGAGGAGATGTTGATCTACTATAATCTTTATGGAACATTCTGATCCTATGTATAGGGAAAGAAAATATTTTAAGCTTTACCAAGATCATGGTATGGACAGATAAGTAAAGAATGCTTTTAGAACTGAAGGAATCCTTGAAGAATCTCATTAACTTATAGACACCACAAGGATATGAGTGTAACTACCCACATTTCAGAACCAGCGAACATACAATGTACAATTTGATCCTCCTAGTCTTTGACTTTAGGATCCGAGTACCATCTGAGTAACCCCAGCTTTCTGAGACACACACGATGAAGGTCAGGGCTAGAGTTTGTCTCCCAAGTGGTTTTAACCTAAAAGAATACCATAAGCCAAGCAGAGGTGTAGACAGGAGAGCAAAGTCTTTCAAGTATCGCTTTTGGACCAAAAAATTAGTCATTTTTATGTTTCTTTAAACTGTAAACAAATCATCAGTGAAGAAGACTTTTTAACTCTATGTTTCAGAAAAGGGGGCAAATAAACAGGTATATGATTTGGGCCAAATAATTGAATTCTAATGTTATGGTCAGAAATAATGTAGGCAAAATGATCCCACCAACTCTTGACCATGAGAAATCCCAAATATATGTGTCTTCTTTCTATCCCTTGAAATCAGGGCATATTTTGATATTTTATATTAAGAAGAAAAAGTAGATATAGATTCATTGCTATGAGCTTGCTATCAGACCTTTATAAATGATATAGAAAGCTTCCCTGAAGTCAGTGAAACTCTCTTAGACTTCACCCTAGTAGAGACCATCTGTGTGAAATTACAGATCCACACTTTTCTTTCCTTAAAACAGTAAATTAATAATAAATATCATGATACCATGTAATTGTGTTTAATTTGACACAGGTAACCCTGGGGAATAGCATGGCCTGAGGATTAGGGTGCCAATGCAGAAAACTCAGATTCCAATTCTGGATATGTCTGTGTTCTTGGAGAAACATTCAGTCTTTCAAAGATTTTTATTTATTTATTTATTCATGAGAAACACAGAGAAAGAGACAGACATAGGCAGAGGGAGAAGCAGGCCCCCCAGGGGGGAACCTAATACCAGACTCCATCTCAGGACCCTGGGATCACGACCTGAGCCGAAGGCAGTTGCTCAGCCACTGAGCCATCCAGGTGTCCCCAACATTTGGTCTTTCAATTCCCTTTGCTTCCGTCTGTAAAATAAAGATGATATTTGACTTAACCTATCAAATTTTACTACACAGGTGTAATAAGGTGATAAGTATAGAGAATTTCAAAGACATATTACATGAATTAAGCACAAATCATTTGATAAAGGCTGACTTTTTCTTCTTATATCATCTTTTGCTTTGCAGAAATGGCAGCATTATAGTTATATTTGACCTTTTCTTTGCCCGGTGGGTGTCAGATGAAAATGTAAAAGAAGAACTGATTCAAGGCATCGAAGCAAATAAATCCAGCCAACTGGTCACTTTCCATATTGATTTGAACAGCATTGATATCACAGGTATCTGTGAACATTATTTGATTTCTTTGAATCATTAAACTATGAAATTAAAATTCTAGCTATATACCAGGGAAGCAGTAGGATCATCCTTGACTTTAGGAACATGTCTTATTGCCTGAGGTAGCACATTTACATGAGAAATTCAAAATACAGAGAAACCATATTTGAAGGAAAATATCAGTGAGAAAAAGTTCGTAAAATATCAAAAAGGTTCTGAAAATCCTGGCATACACAAATGTTTATGAGTCTCATCACATTCTTGGCTTTAGTCAAGCTCACACTGATTTTTCAGAAATAAGTAGCAGTCATTACTTTCTGATAGAGTCATAGACATTATTCAATTACAAAATCAAGTATCAAGCCCACTCTATAATTAAGAACTTAAAAGAAGGAGGAGGAGGAAATAAAGAGATCAATGAGTTTGATTCATCCCACTTATTTGGTAATAAAAAAAATAAAACCTCATTTTTTAAAATAAGTGATTTTAAAATAAGAATAAATCAAAGAGAAAAGAGATAGGGCATCAAAAATAATAGCAAGACAATAAATATCTATCAATGGTTAGGTTATTCTAAATTTTCCATTCTAGTTGTCCTCCATTCAATTCAATTCAACAAACATTTACATTATGTCTTTATTTTGGTTGAAAACAATACTACTGATTGCCAGGTCCATCCAGGTCCATCATTCCTTATCTATAAACCTTAGAGCGAAGTGTGTTTCAGAATCTAAAAACTGTTGGACATTAGAAAGCTAGTCAATATATAAATACCCACATCAAGTGGAATAGAGGCAAACTTTAATAGACTAACACCAGTGTAAGCAGTTTTGCTACAGAATGAGATCAGTCAGTATAGGTTTGTCTCTAAATCAAATGTATAAAAACATGCAGAAGTTTTTTGTTTTGTTTTTTACTTTTACTGAAGTTGCAGACCTGTAGTCGCTTTTCCTTACAGTATTGGTTCATCAAGCACAGTTTTCTTTTCCATTGAGTCTCCTGTTGTATCCTAGGAGAAGGTAAGTAATGCTCTTAAGAGCCTCCTCTACTGATGGCTTTGTTCCCTCTGGCACAGCTGTTGGAGCAGAGACCGTTTTAGATCTTTGTCTGATTCAGATGAGCTTAAAAACTACTACTATAAGTTAGAATAGGTGCTTTATTTATCGATACATTTAATCCTTACATTAAACTTACTACTTTGTGTCTTACTACTTTGGGGAGTGTCTTTACTACTCCCCATTTTACAGATGAGAAGAGCAAAGCACAGATAATTTTGATAAATAACCTTAAATCACAGTTATTTAGAGTTAGATTGAAGATTCTGAATCAGGTGGTCTGACCCTAATGTCTGTGCTCTTATCCATTATACTAGCCTGTTTACAATGGTTTTATCTTTGAACAGCATTGATTCTTTGTCAATAGTCATTTTCTTCTAGGAAATTGGTTTCTTACTGTCTTTAGTTGAACATGCATCAGTTTCTGGAGGTTTATTATGGCAAATGAATTAACAGGCAGGCTAAATCTTATTTTCATGACTCCCTACAGTTGGGCTATTTGGGGATGGTTTTAAAAAATATTTATTTATTCAATAAAAGCATGTCCTTGAGTTAACTTATGATAAATATCATAGATGTGATAAACTATATCACAACATCAACTACTCAAAAATATGCTCCACACCTTGAACTTACATTAATGTATTGAACTATGTTAGGATACATTTATCATGACACCAAGGTTAATTTTAGATATTTAAGTTTAATATTTACTTGTCTCATGTGAATGTTTTAATTTATTACATTTAAAATTGGTTGAAATTTTCATAAATACCTTGGTTTTTATAGAGTCCACAGCCAAATAAAATATAATAAAAAATTAAAATATTAAACTCTTGAAAAAATTTTATAAACTTTATTCTGTTACCTTCTTCATCAATAATCTAACATATTTTATTTATGAAGCTGCTATAGATCTTGTAGGAACAAAGCAATGCAGAAAGAAATACTGAAATAAACAACCTAGTTAGAAGAGAATATACCTCTTCACATACTTATCATAAATACAGTTTTAAATAAAAACAAATTGACTAGATGAGGGTTTTTCATAAGGTATGCTTTGGTTTCCTTTATATTTTACATAGTTGTCATATTTTTAAATCTATTAAACATTCTAAAGGGTAAAGAAAACAACTGGTTTTTACCTTTATGTGAAAAGCACTTTATATTTTAAAATGACTTGATTCTCAGTAGATATTATTACATACAAGTTTATTTTAACATCTTCTATATATTTCAGTGCAAAACCATTCATTCTAAGTTTGACATAATCTAGTGTGCAATGTAATATTAGTTGTCTTAAATATAAATTATCCTATGTAACTATGATGAATAGTTATCTTTCTTAAGTGCGTAAAACAAAGCAAACTTTTGTACAGGTAAATTTTACAGAGAGAACATACAGATTATGGAAATTCATCAAATGTATTGCAATCAAATAATAATAGAAACATCCAACATGAGCTAGGATAAAAATGGGAATTCTAAAAGATCAGATGCCCTTTGAATGATATTCAAACTGCACTCACTGTTTTGTAATATATTTGTGTCATAATCTCAAACTTCAAATCTACTTTATTCCAGCATCTTTGGAGAATTTCTCTACAGTTAGTCCTGCAACGACTTCAGGTCAGTACTTATGGCATTTTCAAAAAGTATAAGTTGGTGATCATCAAACTGCATGACATTAGGGAAAAGGGGTTTTTTTTTTTCAAAGCCCTATCTGCGATATTATTCTTCATATTAAAATGTAAGAAGTTTACATTTGTTTAAGAATAATTTAATTTAGGGATGCCTGAGTGACTCAATGGTTGAGCGTCTGCCTTTGGCCCAGGGCATGATCCTGGAGTCCTGGGATGGAGTTCTACATCAGGCTTCCTGCATGGAGCCTGCTTCTCCCTCTGCCTGTGTCTCTGCCTCTCTCTGTGTGTCTTTCATGAATAAATAAGTAAAATCTTAAAAAAACAAAACAAAACAAAACAAAAGAACAATTTATAATCTTGTAGATTTTATAGTGCCTTGTTACACATGCCAAGGACATGCATTTCCAATTTCAATTTTCTTTTCATATTTTAAACTCTATATATGTTCACATACATGTATGGTATGTGTTCACATACATGTATGGTGAGCATGTGTATGTGTGTAAGTGTGAGTGTGTATAGCATCCTAAAATGTGGCTCTTATCCTGTAGCCTTGGAGATGAACCCATAACATTTGTAAGATCAATGGGAATAAAGAAAAAAAAGTTTTAAAGATAATCAAATGATGACTTTCAGAACTCATTCTTAAGAAAGAAGAATCCAAAGCTTAATGTTAACTTTGCTCTATTCCTGCATTTCCTTATCCCATCTTTCTAACTATGCTTAGCTATTACTGCTCATAAAATTTAGAATTTCACTTTGTCTCACCAAGATCACATCATTATCAAAAGTTGCTTTGGGAAATTATCAAAAATTCTAAAATTAACCTAACCTATCTCAAAATGTAAAATTATTATGTTGCAGAAAAATAATTTAAATTGAAGTCAGGTACCCTAAACATCAATCCTGACTCTGCCAACTACCAGAAACATGGAGCACATCTCTTTATTCCTTTGAAAATCTTCTCATAAATCGCAAATAATATTTTTTTTCTGAATATTTCAGTCATGCCAAATTTCAAATTTATGTATAAATTATTTTTAAATTATAAATTCTTATAAAATTATAAAGATAGTACTTTTGGTATTATCTATTATTGTGACCATTTTTATAATATTTGAAAGATCTACATTTTATTAAAATATCTGCCTGGGCCAGGTACTATACTTTACCAGTTTTGCCCCCATTTAATTCTCAGAATGATCCTGTAGAGTGGTAATATTTTTTTCCACTTAAAAAGAAAAAAATAATAAGCAATGTGCCCAGAGTCACACAGCTATTAATTGTCAAACTCAAGAATTAAAAATAATTCCTTTGGATTCCAAAGCCCATGATCTAAGCATATTCCAAACTTCTATTTCAAATAACATCAGGTTAACCTAAAACATTTAAGTTTACAGCCATTAAGAAATTAATGAATCTTCATGTTTAGTTATTGATCATTGAATAACATCATCTTCTTAGAAAGTAAATGACTTAAAATCTAAAACCTCTGCTCTACAATTCTAAAAATTTAAGAAAACATAAAAGATTTATTCTTAGAGGCAGATACAAATGACATATTCTTAAGTCAATGGATAATCATAATTCACAGGTTAGGGGCTTAGTCACCTGTGTGGCTTAGTCAGTTAAGTGTCTGCCTTTGGCTTAGATCATGATCCTGGAGTCCTGGGATGAACCTTCTCATCAGACTTCCTGCTCCGCGGGAATTTGCTTCTACCTCTCCCTCTGTTCCTCCCTTCACTCATGCTCTCTTTCTCTCCCAAATAAGTAAATAAATATTTTTTTAAAATAAAAACTCTCAGGTTAAATATTAAGCAGGGAAAATATACAATAAAGTCTTAAGAATCAGTTTAAAAAGGTAATAATTATCTTAATGTCATTTATTTTTACAGAAAAGCTAACAACCAGCACTCCTCTGACAACTCCAGGTCAGTTTTAACAATTTTATTTATATCTTTTCAAAAAATTTTCACTTATTTTTTATTTTAGGCTCTTGAGAATTCTTTGCTAACACAGCAGTTAATATTACTCCTATTTTATGGATAAGAAAATTGAAGCATAAAAGTTTGCAGCTTTAGGGGATCCCTGGGTGGTGCAGCGGTTTGGCGCCTGCCTTTGGCCCAGGGCGCGATCCTGGAGACTCGGCATCGAATCCCACGTCGGGCTCCCGGTGCATGGAGCCTGCTTCTTCTCCCTCTGCCTGTGTCTCTGCCTCTCTCTCTCTCTCTCTGTGACTATCATAAGTTAAAAAAAAAAAAAAAAAAGTTTGCAGCTTTAGCCTAACATTGCGCCAAAAGTGAGCAATGTATTCAAGGCTAATGCCTGGATTAGCTAACCTCATTCCAGTCCTCTGGCTAGAACCCTGGTTATTATCTGTTGCTAAGAATGCCACCAATAGAATCAAAATGTTTGCCAGAAGAGATGTAGTTTTCATCAGATGTGGGGGTTGGGTTTTTTTCTCTAATTATTCTGTCTGCATACAAGGTAGAAATGCTTGCTTTCTCAATCCAATATGTGCTGCCAAACCAGCACTGAAATAGCCTTGAATTCATTCATTCAACAAGTTTTCATTAAGTGGCTTCTTTGTGCTAACTCCCAGTATGTATCTTTGATGTGCCAGTTTCTCTGGAGTCCAGGTAATTGTCTACTGTGCTTTTGTCTATCTGCTTGCCAACTAAATTGCCTTTTCTGGTCCTAACTTAATCTTCATGTTGAATGGCCTGGATGTGTCCTTCATCTCTTCAGAAAAACTCCATAAAGGCAATATTATATAGATCTTCAGGTCCTAAAATAATACTGCCATTTTTATATTATTAGAATCCATATCAAATATTATATACATACAAGGAGAGAACATTTGTAAAACCATAAATGCCCTTTTGAGTAAGACTTAATAATTCTTGAATAAAATAGTTGGCATGATGTTTGAAAAGGAAAGCGATACATAAATCATTCATCAAAATTCTTTATAAATCAATCCAATACACTTCCAAATCTGCAGAGATTGTTTATGGTAGGAAAAGGCTGCCCGGGTTATGTTTAGGTGTTAACCCATACCGCAATCCAGCATACTAATAAATAAAACTGTTCTTTATCTCACAGTCTCCTCTCCAAGATGGTAAATTATTTACAGCATTTAAAACCACCTTTCAACACACTTTCAAAAAAAAAATGCTTCTATAATTGATAATGGCTAATTCCTTCAGTCTAAAAATAAGGTGAAAAAAGTGATTTGAATGTATTTTGAGAAATATCTTTCTAAAGCTTTGAAAGTCAGCAACATATATCCAAATTATTGCCTGTTTTCTATTTATCTATTGCTTCATTGAGTGATTCATATAAACCACAGGATCGAAGACACCTTCAGTGTATAAAATGTCCTAAGAGAAATACGTGCAATGACTTAGAGGAGGAAAAATCGGTGTCAAAGCAAGAAAGTCTTGGACTTAAAAAGTAAATATTTCTCTCTTACTTTTCTGAGGACAAACTTGTCAAAAATGTAAGAAGTGACTGAACTTTATTATGCCAGTTTCCTCTGGCCAAAGGAGATGGAGAATGGGTGACAAAGAGTGTGAGAGGGGTACTTTATCCATACTTTGCTATCATGGGAAGTGAAGCAAAAATCTCCTTTTTTATATGTAAGCTACAGGGATGGGATACGTATACATTTAGCTCTATCTTTTACACTTTAGGTATTTGGTATGTAAATTGAAGACTGAAAACAACATACAAGTCTCTATCATCAAAAAAAGCATAGTCAAATCCATCATTAACTAATTCCACCAATTACTCTATATGTGGTGTTTGGCAAGCTACCCAGTCTTTTTTAACGTTAGATTAAAATATATACCTTAGAGAATGATCATAAAATTAAAAGAGAAACAATACAGAGACCACTGCACCATCTCAATTTGTGACTGCCACAGAGTTAGACTCCTTTCTTTTCCCTTCTGACTTAGACAGGAAAAAAAGCACAGATGGGTGCACTTTTTTTTTATTTTAGGAATATTTCAAAAATGAAACTAAGGTTAAACAAGACAAGTGTACTTGATGATGTTCACTTAAATCTGATCATCTATTTGACTAAAAAAAAAAAAAAACAAACAAAACTCCTCCGTTTTTGAAGCTTTCCTGTATTGAATTACCTTAATCAATCCTCAAAGAATTATAATAAGGAAAGGAAGTGGAAACATCTCATATTTCCTCTTTTATTGGATCCATGAGTCCCCAGTCATCTTTCCCATTTTTCCCCCCTCTCCTACAGCAAGATACTATAGATTTATAGAGGGGAACAAGGCGATTAAAACCACAGTTTCCAAGCAGTAATTTATTATGAATATGCCTTTCAGGGGTGTTAAGTTTATTCTCATCTTTATATGCCTGGAAGACAAAGTTTGAGAAAAATCAACAAATGCATGCATCATATACCTGGCATTAGTACTGTTATAAATTCTGCCAAAGAGAATCTTTGTATGATAGCAGGTACAAAGTCCATGAGGATTATGTTCTATTGTTCAACTGCCTTTGTTGCCAATTACTGTAAAGTTTTATTAACCCATTTGGAATACGAGAGGAGGGAGATGGGGACTTGGGTTGAATTACACTGATTGATTTCTTGGCTGCTACAGAGTGCCAAGAGGGGCTGTTTTGGGCAATTGTTCAAATGCTTGAAGGATTTCTAGAATATAGCTTGTTCTAGTCTTTTGTTGTTTCCTATGTAGGCAATGATTGCAGAAAAACAAAAGTTTCACTATTATGGGCTTTCTCAATTTCATACAAAATGCAATCTTGCTCCAATACTACTATGTGGAGGGACTTGGGGATTGAAGAAAAGGAATTGGCTGATTTAGTGAAGAACATGAAATTGGGTCAAGAGAAGCCAAGGTGGAATTATGCTCTTCAGTTGAATTGCCCAAGGACTGAAACACAGGGACTTTATTGAACACCAAATGTATTATAATTTTATTTTTCTTTTTCCACATTTGAAAGAACAGCATGTACATTGCTAAACACACTCCTCTAATTTAAAACATCCTTATGCACATGATATCAGAACTGTTTGAGTATCTTTCCACTGTAATTTCATTTGGACTGACCAGCCATAGTCTTGCTAAAAAGTTGAAATTAGTTAGATCAAAGTTGATAAGAATTTCTGTAGGATGATATTTATTTTTCCAATAGAGTGCAGAGAAATAAACTTAGTCTATAAAGGCAGGCATTCATAGATTCAAACTCTACTTTCACTGCTAAGTATGCTATAAGGATGTGGGACTTAATTTGTCTCACAAAGCTTGGTCCACCAAGTATTATTATTTCTGTGTGAATAATAGAAAAAATAAAATGTGAGATTTCCAAAACACGATTTGCAAATTATTATTTGTAAGTAACACACTTTGTAACTTATTTGGAAGGGGAAAAAATGGATTTCTGTCTTTTTATCCTCTTTGAAGCCTAGCACAGAGCCAGCACTAAGTATGCACCGGAAATTCTTTACCACAAAATTCACCAAAAATTGTTGTGACTTTGGATCATTCTGAGAAATCACATTGAGTTGATGCTGAATCTTTCATGATATAAATATGAATGGATAATTAAAACCTTCTATTTGCAGAATCTCAAATAATAGTAATTTCCTGGTAGGTTTTCACAAAATGCCAAAGAATTAATAACCCAAAGATAAAATACCGTATAGATATAAAAATACATGTACACCCTTTTCCCCCCCTCAAGATAACATTAATTAATATTCAGGCAATTTGTTCAGCTTCTGATAAACAAAACCAATTATTCTGCTCTCTCTGCACATTTCTTTAAATACAATTACTTAACTCTTTTCCTAGAAATTCCCTATTGAGAAGTACAGTACAGTCTTCTAAGAGAAGGAGAAATACCAGAGAAAGAATTAGGGAGTTAAATGGCAAATAGAATAATACACAGTTGAAGAACTCTAATTTTAAGAATGGAAGGTCCTTTTTAAAAATTGGCAACTGGCTAATTTCTGTACAGGTAATGTTTCAATGAATGATCTTGTTGGAAATTGTCATCAGATGTTTGTATGTAAGGAGATGAAAGGAAGACAGGAGACAAGATAAAAAGGCAGTCTGATAAAATCTCCAGATGTACTCTCTTAAAGTAACAATTACATTTATATTTTCCATACCGGTTTCAATATGGAGAACTCTTTCTTCATGGACTAAGGTAGCTGAGGAGTGTTTATGAAATAGTCTGAAAGAATAAAGTACAACCCAAACTGTAGTACCAGTACCTAGTATTTCCAACTTTAAATCAAAATACTTACAACTAAAACAAAATAAATAAATAAATAAATCAAAATACTTCAAGTTAGAGTCATTTTCTAATTCCACTAGGGGTTCCTCTTATACCTACTATCATGATTAATTACCATGAATAAATTCCACTGCCCACTCCAAAAGCATGGGTATCATGAATCCCCCTTTCCATCCTCTTGGTCAGGGGCACATCTAGTCACTAAAATTTATCTATTACATTGGTAAAATAGCAATTGAGTCCATGCCCCATCTCCTCTAGCAGTTGAAATTCCAACCCTTGTCCACTAGTAAAAACTAGTGAGAGTTCAATCCTTATTCACTTCCACTTTAATCGTAAAAATAGCTTCTTAGCTTTTCTCCTTATTCTACATGATTCTCCACTTGGTCCCAAAGTTGTCTTCACAAAACATGGGCTGATCATACCACACATATATATAAAAACTTTTAATGCCATTGCCTACAGAAAAAAATATTTCTAACATTTTACAAAAATAAAAAATTCTCCTACACTTGACACCAAACTCACTTCCTGCCATTGCCTTTACAAACATCCTACCATCCAGATAAGTTATACTCATCTGCTTTCTGTATATGAATGTGCTCTTGTCACATCACTATATATGAGTTCCATACATCCCTCTCTTTCTTCCTGGTACATTTCTAAGCTTCCTTCAAAATCCAGTTCATATGAAGATGTTTTCAATTTTTGACTCAAAAGAAAACTAATTGTCCAGTCCTTGGTGTTCTCATAGCACTTTTTTATACCTCCTAAAAAAAATGGTAATGAACCAGTCTTTCACTAAACTCCAGGCTTCCTGAGAATAGAGGCCTTTGTCTTATTCATCCTTTATCTCCATTCCTTAAAAATGTTTGACACAAATAAATAGATAATAAACAATTGTGGAGTGAATAAATAATCATTAATAAGATCAAAAGATCCCAATTGGTACATTCTTCTAGTGTGGTTTTGAGGTTCAATCTGTAGAGTTCAGTAGGGCAACAGATAGACATGTGAAGCATCATGAAGTGCAGTTCCCATGAGAAGCATTAGGAAGGGCAAAATTATACATATTCCTTGCTATATCTCCAAATCTTTTAAATGTTGAATATTTAGAATTCTATTAACTGCTGTTAAAACCAGACATAGATTTTGTAGAATATTTTTTTGTTATTTATTTAGCAAGCATTTATGGAATACTATCAACACTATGCCTTCAATGGATTAGAGATTCAATGATTAAGGTCTCTTGATAAATATTTCATAAATATCAACAGCTGTAATATGCTTTTGGGTTTATTCAGTACCAGTTTTACCACTTTTTTAATTATCTTAAATGGTGTTGGCTGTCCTTTAGAAATGGCTCTGATCTTTATCATGTCCTATTTTAGATATTAGGTGATCTATGATTTTCCCAATGGTTTATATCCATTTTAATTAGATACAAGTATAAAAATCTAACTTAGTTGACTATATGCCCAGAAACCCTGCCCATAGATGTTCCTAATTAGGTATTACCTTAGTAGAATAACTGACACAAGCACTTTTATTTTCCCAATTAATTTCATGGAGCATAAGGAGAAATTTCAGAACCAAATATATTTTTAAGCTCCAGCAGATGGCAGTGCAGTGCAGAATATGCCATTTTTAAAAAACCCACACTTAAATTTTCCAAGTTAATTTCTAGAAGTAAAATGTGTTTCTTGGTGCATCACTGTATGTAGGCATATGGAAGAAGAGCAGCAGGTGAAGGACAAGACAGGCTAAAAAGAACAAATTGATCACATTCTGGTCCAAGTATGCCATAGAAGCCTCCAGGGGAATGTTTGCATCTTTCCCACTAAGAATTTCTGACCCAAGAAGCAATGAAATATTGAATGGAAATAGCGATTGGGTTTGTCCACTGCTCAATGTAGCCAGGCACTGGAAATTTTAAGTGATTTATTCTACTATAAAATGACTTTTGCTGACAAATTTTGCTCTACAGAAAGCAAACTTTGACTTCAGCCCCCATATTTCCAGTAATAAGTTTATAAAAATGAAGTGGTTACTAGATACTGCAGATGATGTGAGAAACATTCCAATAAATTGCCCCACAAAACATGTAAATAGTCCTACAATGTGTAAACATTAGAAGCCAAATGTCCAAACTGTAGTATTGATTTATCAAGGTTAAAATCAACAAAGTAAACATTCATATTTAACATCTCTGAGCAATATATATCTTCTTTTCAAAATTTAAAATTCTAAACTTTTACAAGTGACTAATTAATTAAATGAAATAAAGTTTTACATTGGAAATTGAAATATACGTTTGTAAGAAAAGACCTAAATGACAATACACCATAAATATCCAAACATTGTACATATGGTTGGAAATTAAATTTATTATGCAAGAAACTTATAAATTCTGTCTTTTATTTTTCTAAAGGAAATGTCTCTATAGAATGTCCGCCTGATTCAAGTCCTTGTGCTGATGCTCTAACGTGTATAGCAATTGATTTATTTTGTGATGGAGAATTAAACTGTCCAGATGGTTCAGATGAAGACAACAACACTTGTGGTAAGTAATGCCCCCCACATTCTCTCTCCCCACTGCCTTTCATCCCCTCCCTCACTGTGTACACACACACACACACACACACACACACCTCAGATACCAGAAACTACTGGAAAATGAGATATCTCAATACTCATGATTATAATGTAATACAGAACCTAAAAACTAATTATATTAATGTTTTCCTGAACTATATTATACAATATTAAGCATTAATTAATTAAGTGGAATTCTATTTGATGGCTATGGAAAGGATGCTGTCATTAATGTCCATTATAAGTGAGGTAAGAGAATGTTATTGTTTTTCATGCCTTATTAAACTATTCCAAACTAATGAATTTCAATGCTCTTTCATGTTTCATTATACCATAATATCAATAATATCAATCTTTTTTTTTGCCATTTCAATGACCCCTCACTCTGTAATTGCCACTCTTTAATTTTGATTGTTGCATTTATTTGCCTTTTGACATAGAGGCAACAAATAGGCAAAAAGGTATATTTGAGTTGCAGTTCTATGAATAATAGAAACCAGTTATAAATAAAATCTTGTCTTATGAATAAAATAATCCATTCATTATTTGTAAATTTTGGCATCTGTTTAAGTGTTAACATTATTATTAATTATTGTTATTATTATTTCACACTTAAGTAGTACTCTAGCCAAACATGACTTTAAGTGATTTAAATGTCTTTACTCTTTGACTTACTTTATTTTATAGTTGGGTAACATATATATGAAAGATTATCACATAACTATAAATATAGATTGATAAACAAGGTGAATAACTATTTGAATAACTAACTTATAATTTGTTATTCCTAAAGAATAATTTGTTCTTAAAGAATTAAACATTAAGCATGAGTTGAACAAATTTTTGGCTGATTTATGATCAATCTTAAAACTGACAGCAGCACAGTCAGTTCCTGAAATGAATAAAGGTTATAATCACAATTTGCTACACTTTGCTCTTCTATTTTTGCTGCACTTTGTTCTTCTTGCTTGATATTAATTGAAGATGAATGCTCCAATAGCAACCAAAGCTTAGTAAGTTACCTAACCACTTGGTACTTTAAAAGACAGGCAGTCGGCCTGTTTTCCAGGATCAGCTCAAAAAAAGGCAACTTGACTAAAGAGGCTTCTACTAAGCAATCCCAATTCAAATGTTCTTTGATAAAATTCAAACCTTCAAAGTTTAACTACATACTTTGAAGTGCACTCAGAGCATATTGGAAGAAAGTGCAGGCTACAGAATATTTTTTAATCTATTTTATATAACTAAGTTACTCAAAGAAGAAGAAAGCAACATTCTTTTTAGCTATGGTTTTCGGGCAGTTTCCAAAACCTTTTCAGGGAGAACATGATACAAGTGTGCCATCATGAGGTAATAAGGGTGATGTTGCTTAATATTTCAAGAAGAAAAATGTATGCCAAAGCTAGACACATAGCTTTCAGCTTATATAATGATTATCAATAAACTTGAAGGGGGAGGAGGGTATGTAAGGTGAATTGAACAATCAGAAAATGTACCATACCTATTATTTGGTCTTTACTGTCATGAAGTTAATAATGTTCATGGTAAAGTCATATCAGTGCATTTCCAAAAATAACCATAGAAGTATCATGTTAAATGTAGTAGTTTGTCCTAAAATAAGTCATAAGGCCATGAATTCTTTTTCTGAGTGAGCATGGACTAATGGCATAAGCCTCAGTATTAGAACTGAATTCATTCTTTAAATTTGCTTTAAAGACACAATCAAATTTCATTTTTAGTTTTCAGTATCATGGAGGTTTGTGTTAATTGAAACTTAATCTCAGGGATCCCTAGGTAGCTCAGCGGTTAGCGCCTGCCTTTGGCCCAGGGCACGATCCTGGGGTCCCCGGGGTCGAGTCCCGCATTGGGCTCCCTGCCTGGAGCCTGCTTCTCCCTCTGCCTGTGTCTCTGCCTCTCTCTCTCTCTCTCTCTCTCTCATGAATAAATACATAAATCTTAAAAAAAAAAAGAAACTTACTCTCAACTAATCATCCATGTCATGAAATTTCTTGAGTCTCTAGATCCTCATCTTTCATTTTTCTTGGTTCTCTTCATTATTTGTATTTTAAAATTAGCGTTGTATTTATCTTTGAAAATAAATTTAGTGCTTGCTTCCGCAGCACATATTCTAAAATTGGAACGATACAGAGATGATTAGCATGGCCCCTGCGCAAGGATGATAATAAATTTAAAGCCTTGTGAATAAATGTGGACAACTCCATCAAGTAATCTGTCTTTATCCAGCTAGGATTCAGGCCTATAATTTGTTTTATTCATCATTCACCATTAGTGATGGTGAGCCCAAAAGCCCAGTACACTTCCCTTCGACTTGAATTTGAACTTCTGGTAGCATAATTTCTACATGAAAACTTGTATCCATTAATCTAAATTCACAAAAAAAAATTAATTTAAAAGTATTTTTTCTATATGAAATTGACCCTTGTGCTCTCTCTCTTTCTTCTCCAGCTGTGAGCTCTAATTCTAGTGTGTTATTAATAGAGTCCCATTAATGTTGACTTCCTCACATAGCTTCCTTTTTTAGCCTTTAGTTATTTAGGTTTTATGCAACTTATAGCTGACGATAGCTGAACGAAGACTTCTTTAAATTGTTTTTCTCTTCTGATTAGAATGGCATCAGCAGGAAAGTTCACTTTAGCTGACCTATGAGAAGGAAAGATGCTGACTCACAGCCTTTAGACCAATGTTCAGACCTATTTGGAAGTTGTCAACTATCTCTTTAGATTGTTTGCATGCCTCTATGTGCACAATAGACCTTGGTGGATGGGCATAGATAATGTTTGTTTTATGTATCCTTGAGAATTTAAGAACCTAAGCAAACATACAACTAGTAAATATTCAGCCAGCAGAGGGAGCTCCCAGTAGGTTCTAAGAGCGTCACTTTAAGGAATCCTCTCCCAATACAGGCAACATTTCAGAGAGCTCAGTAAATGCCTGATATTATTTGACAGGCTCATTTATCTCCCATTCAGGATTTTTTCTCATGCTGGACTGTAAAGCACTATGTAATCTAAAAAGTTATAATCTTGAACACTCAGTAATCCTACTTATCCATGCCTAGGTTAGGTCTATCTTTCTGAAAGGCTATCCTGCTTCATTGTCTTGTGCAAAATTAGGTTCTCCAAAAACATCCTGATATTAAATGAAAGAATGTATGAGAAAGCCCCTAGAACAAGGGGCTGTATCTTGAAATAATAATTTTGGCATTCTGAGCTATGCTATTGTAAGTAGTTCAATACTATTATAATTTTATTTTAAATGCCTTCAGGAATATTCTTCTTAAAAATCCTTTTATCCTCACATGCAAGAATTCCCCAATGGCCCTTTAGAGCAGAACTTGACATGCAGATTATTCATTCCCACTAAAACTCAGCAACTTCATAGACAACTGGAAAAATTGATCATACTTTTTAGGATAGGCTAAATACTATGGTAAACAATCTTAGCAATTTAAGACAATAACAGTTTACTTATCATGTCATGGTCCAAGGAAGAGGGCAAAGGGCCACACTCTGTGTAGGCATTCAGGATGCCACCTCCTTCACTGTCCCTAGTGCTTTGCATCATTTGCAACCCACTGGCAGACGGGAAGAATGTTATAGAAGGTCTTTTTAGAAATCACATCTGGAAATAAACACAGTTACTTCCATAATACTTTAATGGCCAGGATCAGACACCTGGCCCCATTTATGGAAGTGCAGCCTAGTGATGTGCCCACAAGGGCCTGGGAAAACCTACAACAATCCTGCCATCAGGGGCATAACTCAAGTTTTTGGAAAACACAGACCTGTTGATACTTCCCCCAAAAGATATAGTGAATGGGTGTGAAGAAGTGAAGAATTACTGAAAGTTATCAGATTTGCAAATTGGCTTTATAAATTCTTAAACCAGTCTTGGTTTGTTCCCTTTAATTCGATCCTTTTAGCTTTCTCCTATTTGTTGTAGAATGCTATCGCAAATGTGATCTATTCTAATTTTAAGAACAACAAAAATGACTGAAATTTTTATAATTTCCTGTTTCTTGGGGCATCTGGGTGGCTCCGTCGGTTAAGTGTCTGCCTTTGGCTCAGGTCATGATTTCAGGGTCCTGGGATCCAGCCCTGAGTCAGCTCCCTGCACAGCAGGGAGTCTGTTTCTCCCTTTCCCTCTATCCCTCCCCTTCCCCTCATCTCAAATAAATGAATAAAATCTTTTTTTTTATTTCCTGTTTTTTCTTTTATTTATAATTCTATACACACATGCTCCCCTACCCCCTACATGAGCTTTTCATTTCAGAGTGGATGATAACATCACAATATGTCTATATATATTGAAGTATCAGGCAGTAGAGCCCTGAATGCTCAGCAGTAAGATGGCCTGGCTCTGAATTGTCACTAATAAACTGGAAGAATGTTTGCTAGTTACTTAACCCCTCTGTGCCTCACTTTCCTCACTTAAAACTTTATAAGATGGTTGTGGAGATTACATTAATACATCCATAATAACTTCAGAACAGTAGCCTGCACATAGTGAACATTCTATCAATGCTAGCAGTTATGTTAAAATATAACTGGCAGGATTGATTGGTCCACCTCATTAGATGTAAACTATTTACAAGAGCATGGATTTTCTTGCACTGTCTATAATCTTGAAGTCCATATGTTCTTTCCACAGATTAAAAGATTCCATATATCACCTAAAATATAAACAGACAGTATTTTTACTTTTATAACATTGATTAACGTTATTTCTTTTTATAACTAGAAAATTACTTAATTCTGCATTTAAAAAATCACACATTTTACTGCTTATCTTCAAATCATACAAATTCTCCTTAACTGTCCTTGTTTGCTCAAGGAAGTATTATACACAGGAGATTCAGTTCTCTCAACAAGCCATGATACTTTCCACTTCCTTTCCCAGATCTGTGGTAGATATTTCAGTGCTTAATCCTTTGGATTGGATTTTCTTTTCTGTTTTCAGTTTTTGTTGTTATTTATTTGTTGTTTTGTTTTTTGTCTTCTGCTGAGAATCACACTATTCAGTCATAATAAATTCCTAAGCCACTATTTTTAAATAGACTTGAATCTTACAGTTCACAATTTCACAGTCTCACAATCACAAAGTGATTTCTTATGCTTTTTTAAAAATACCAAAAATAGGAAAATGCCAACCACCACTAAAAGAATTTTACAAAGATTTCTATATATTTACTTTTCAACTTTTTCTTTTGTCCACATAAAATAGTTGATGTCATATAATAGCTTGTATTTTATAACTTGACAGAATGTTGTATGATGTTACATGAAATTTTCCCTCCATCCATTTAGGATTAGCTTATTCTAGCTCTCAGATTTCAAAAGCAGTAATGTAATGTTAAAAATTTCTTTAATCTCCCTACCCTCAATCAGTGCTTCTGGTCTACAAGGAATGAACGACCTACCAAAAGGAAAAGGACACATTCTAGGAGTAGTTATCTTAGAATATGGTGTCAAGAGAATCAAGTAACTAAGTATATAGAAAATCTAAGAAAAATCAAAGATTGTGAAAATAAAGTGGGGTTTTTTTAACACATAATATACATAGTAACTGTAACGGGGACACAAAAACTAGTGAGGCAGGGCTCCAGGTTAATACCCTCGGTAAGATTTTAAACTATTTGGAAATGATTCAGATATACGTTAAAGACAACTAATAATACATTACATTAAAGAGAAATATATGAAGTAAATATGCTACAAGAATTAAAAGAGTAAACTGAGTAATCAAGAAAAGCAAAAAGACATATTCAGGAATATTGAAAGAAAATACTAAGCTAGCAAATTCCTGCAAAAGAAGCAAGAAGCTTAAAAGATGGTGGAATAGTTTGGATGGATGGAATTCACTATAGGCCACTGGCACCATACATATCATTTGCCTTGCCATGTTCTGATCATTTTCAGGAGGACATAGCATGTAATGCACATATTTGAAATTCACCTTTACTGTATTTAATAGGGGAAATAAGACAAAAATAGTAGCCATTTGTCTGAATTGGAAGCTTATAATTCAAATACATTCATTTATTTCCTTAAAAATATGAAAAAAATACTAAGAATGCAGCTTAGGTATGAGTATTAGAAATACAATGTCTTTCTAAAGGAATCTATGAAGGGTTATGTACAGGTATTTGAAAATAAGAGTAGACTTTAAACATGAGAGATGATCTACTCCCATTTGATCATTTCAGTTTTGTACAACGGCCTCATACAGATCCAGTTATGAATGTTCGGTGTTCATTAGCCAATTCAAATCCCATTTCATTTGAGAAAACTTTCTGAGATTGTTTTTTGTCTAACATCAATTCCCATGTTTTTCACAGCCACAGCTTGTGATGGAAAATTTTTGTTAACTGGATCTTCTGGGTCCTTCCAGGCTGCTCATTACCCAAAGCCTTCTAAATCAAGTGTTGTTTGCCAGTGGATTATACGGTAATATATCATCTTCTATTCCCTATTATTAAGTCATAACATCTTTCTCTGATACAGTAACTCCTATCACCTTCAGTAGTCTGTAGTTTAACTATCATTTTCACTGGTTATGAAGCAAAGTCTTCCCAACTGATAACTTGTTCAAGAAGTTTCTCTCTCACTCTTCACCTATAAAAAGGTGTTCTGTCCTATTGATAATACTATCTAATAAATGGGGCCACCATTGGGCTCTACAGCAAATTTTCCCCCTATGATTGGCACAGATGAAGTGTTGCCAAGGTGAACAGCACACATTTATACCTATCTGTATATTACGAGATATAATATTCCCCATCACTTGCATTCTGGCCACAGAGGAGTTCCTTTCTCATTATGCCAGCATCTGTGTGAAAATCTCCTCTGATGTGATTTGGTCATAGCATATTAAGAGCTGGGGACACCCTCTAAACACATTCTTTTTTGCCATATCTTGAATAACACTAAATCAGTTACCATGTATTTGATCTTCAAGCTCTTAATTCAATTCACTAATTCAATCATTGTGATGATCCAAATAATCAAGCTGCTGAAGGTTGATAAATCTTGATGTTTATCTAAAGCCTTTTTCACACAGGAGTAGTACCTGATGTTCCTCCTCCATATTCCAAAGGAAAATAATTGGTACTTAAATAAATAAAAGTAATACTGAAATAAACTCATCACAACTTCTTTTTATTTTTTAAGTACAGGACTTGTCACGGTTTCAAATAAGTTAAAAAGGAATATAAATCTCAAAAAAAGAAAAAAATCATCTTAAGTAACTAATCATTTTCCTCCATAGAACATATAGAATAAATATTCTATGGAATACTCTTTGATAAATGACATTTTAGTTAGTCCATTTCTCTTAACAACTGGATGGGATTATGGTTTTCCCATCCAACCCACTATATGATAGTTTTAATCATTCTGATGATTCACTAGGAAACCAGTGAAATCAAGACAATACCTGATTAAAGAAGGTTATAAGGCAGTGTCAAACAAGTTCTTTCCAACCATATGATAGAAATGGTCCCATAAAGATGCACAATGTTGTTTATTTGTGAAGACATCCCAGAGATGAGGTGGGATATGAAGGGATTATTGTTCTAAACACATTTACTTGACATTATTCAGGGAAAGAAGAACATCCTGTTCTCTTTAAATAATTTCTATTTTGGCTCTCAACCACATGTAAGTTAAGTTTTCATGCTCTAGACAATATGTTACTTGTGTGCCAAAGACAAGACTTTGTATTAAAAATGGTAGCTCACTTGTCAAGTGAAGAATTAACCGATTTGGGGGTGTATTATTTCTAATATCACATCAAATTTAAAAAGAAGCAGGGCAGCCCCGGTGGTGCAGCGGTTTAGCACCGCCTGCAGCCCAGGGTGTGATCCTGGAGACCCTGAATTGAGTCCCACGTCAGACTCTCTGTATGATGCCTGCTTCTCCCTCTGCCTGTGTCTCTGCCTCTCTCTCTCTCTCTCTCTCTCTCTCTCTCTCTCTCTGTCTCTACTCTATGAATAAATAAATAAATAAAATCTTTAAAAAAATTTAAAAAGAAACATTTATAAACGGCTATTCTCATTGTTCATAAGTAAAATGAAAAACAGTCTATTCCTTACTTAAAATGTCAGCTGAAAGCTTTAGAAAAATCTTAAATTACTTCCTCTGAAAATGGAAAGAACATGAATTCTAAATTACTTCTTTCAATATTTGGAATTTCATCAATAGCAAATAAAAATAATTTAATTGTTAAATCTACTGCTTAATAAAGCTAGGTCAAATTAATAGAAGAATTTATAAGCAGGACACAACAAACTTTTGCCATAATAGTAGTGTCATTTAGGGATCCCTGGGTGGCGCAGCGGTTTGGTGCCTGCCTTTGGCCCAGGGCGCGATCCTGGAGACCCGGGATCAAATCCCACGTCGGGCTCCCGGTGCATGGAGCCTGCTTCTCCCTCTGCCTGTGTCTCTGCCTCTCTCTCTCTCTCTCTGTATGACTATCGTAAATAAAAAAAATAAAAATAAAAATTTAATAGTAGTGTCATTTATGTAATAATCACACTATATTAATTAAATTCACCAGTAGTACAGAAATGATTGTAAAACCCAAATAATCCAAATATTACCCTAAACACAGTACTTCACGATGAAAGTATGATTTAATTAATCGTATAAATGACCTAAGTATGTTTTCTTCTTAAAACTGATTACTACAATAGTGATGCATTGTCCTTGATATTTTGTTTCTCCTAATGGTGATCAAAGTAGGGGTAAATATGATGTTTTCTTCAAGATTTGAAGACTGTTTAAATAGTGGAGAAATGTCTAAAGTGCAATTAAACCATATTTGGGGCTAGATAAGCCCATCCTTGGAATTATATTAAAACTACATTTAGCAGAGTATCAAATAGTAAGAATGTAAGCACTGGAGACTGTATGAGTTCAAATCTACACTCTATAGATCCAAAATGTGTGTTCTCGGGCAAATAACTAAATCTCTTTGACCCAAAATTTATTCATTCATAGAGTTAAAGATCTCTAAATTCAGAAGCAAAGTAATTATTAAATGAAGGAGTGAATGGGGCTTAGCCCCATATTAAGATATCAAAAAGTAGGCTCTAAAGAGATTAGCTATTGATACAAAAATGTAAGATGCATAAATTATATTTAGTAAAATATCCATTCCCTTCAAAAAGACATAAGATAACCATGCCTAATATTATAAAACACAGATATTATATTTTTAATTAGTCATATTTATAAATGATGACGTTTTATTGCAAGTGGGTTGGCTTTTCTGAATCAGAAGAAATAGAAAACTGTATTCATTAGTTTCTCTCTTCTACATTTGACATTATATTTTTTAAAAAGCAAAAGAATCCTGAAAATGAAAGTTCCTAAGGAGCTTCTCTTGTATCCTTTGGTTTCATAGCTTAAAAATATCACATGAAGAGTAACTCACTATATTTCTGCCCAAAGATGCCAATATTTTAGTTAGAAAAAAACAGAAATCACCCCTGAGCCTGCTTCATTTCTTTGTCCCCGGTCTTCTTAAAGCTTTGATGCCAGAGTCCCTAGAGGTCTCACTAGCAGGTTCATTCGCCCATCCTTGAACTGACCAACAGAGGCAGAATTTGTATAAATGGCTGCCACTATTTGCCCATAGATCACAAGATCTTTTATGTAGAAAATCATCAAAATACACACACTTATACACATATCAACACATAACAAATGAAAGAATTTAGCAAAGTTATAGAATACAAAATCCATGTAAAAACTCAGTTGTGTTTCCATACACTAACAATGAACAATCCAAAAAAGAAATTAAGGAAAAAACCTCTTCCCATACATACATACATATAACACTCACATAACACAAACACCACATTCACGCTACATATAAACAACACGTATACAATTAATACCACAAAACCACTAGATCCACATCAAACATATATACCACACAATTATACCACATGTGCAAAAAAAAAAATAGGGAGAAATCTTCATAATACTGGTCTTCAATTACTCTAAAAACACAGGCAACTAAAGAAAAATAGACAAGTGGCATTATATCACATTTAAAAACCTTCTATACAGCAAAGGAAACAATCAGTAGAGTGAAAAGACAACCTATGGAATGGAAGAAAATATTTGGAAGCCATATATCTGATAAAGGCCTAAATATCCAAAATATGCAAAGAACTCTAAATACTGAATAGCAAAAAACAGCCCAATCAAAAAATGAGCAAAAATCTCTAATAGATATTTCTCCAAAGAAGGCATACAAATGATGAGCAGGCATATGAAAAGTTGCTCAGCATCAACAATCATCAAAGATATGCAAATTAAAATTACAATGGCCATTATTGAAGAAAAAAAAATAGAAAATGATAAATGTGGGTGAGGATGTTGGGAAAATGGTGCCCTGTGCATCATTGATGGAATGTAAATGATGTGGTCACAATGGAAAACAATATGGAGACTCCTCAAAAAATTTTATTTTTATTTATTTATTTTTTTATAATAAATTTATTTTTTATTGGTGTTCAATTTACCAACATACAGAATAACACCCAGTGCTCATCCCGTCAAGTGCCCCCCTTAGTACTCAAAAATTTTAAATGGAATTACTGTATAATCCAGCAATCTCATTTCTGGATATTTATCCAAAAGCGTTGAAATCAGAATCTCTAAGAGATATTTGCACTCTTACAGTCAGTCCCATTGCAGCATTATTCACAATGTCCAAGAGATGTAAACAACCTAAATGTCCACTGACCAATGAATAAGTAAAGAAAATATGGTACATACATATAATAGAAATTATTCAGCCATTAAAGGAAGGAAATCCTGTCATATGCAACAACATGAATGAACTTTGAGGTCATCATGCGTAAGTGAAATAAGCTCTTCACAGAAGGACAAATAGTCCATGATCCCATTTATATGAAGCATCTGAAGTATTTAAACTCATGGAGACAGAAAGTAAAATGGTGGTTTCCAGAGAAAAGGAGAGGATGAAATGGGGATCTATCGTTCAAGGAGAATAGTGTTTCAGTCATGCAAGTTGAAGAAGTTCTAGAGATCTGCTGTACAACATTGTGCTTATAGTTAACAGTTCTGTATCATATACTTAAAAATTAGTTGTCAATCTCCTACTCCGTGTCTTTTATTCACAATTGGAAAATACATTCAAATTTTAGAATGCATAGACTTGTAACAACCTATTAAGAGTATAGTAATCTATTTTTTGCTTTAATTTAGTGTAAATCCAGGACTCTCCATTAAACTGAGCTTCGATTATTTTAATACATTTTATACAGATGTATTAAATATTTATGAAGGTGTGGGTGCAAGCAAGATTTTAAGAGGTAAGTTAAAACAAATATACAATTATCAAAAATGAAAATATGTGGTAAACTCTTTAAAGTAATGTGTTTTCAGTTTGATTTTAAACTGACTATGGACTTGAACTTTAAGTTACTGAAAGGAAAAAGCAAACCTGTTTCTCATTATAAAATTAATAATCTTAGTAATAAATGGTTACAATTTCACATTATCCTCTTCTACTTAGGTTTTTAAAATCATGTGGAGGGCAGCCCGGGTGGCTCAGCAGTTTAGCGCTGCCTTCAGCCCAGGGCGTGATCCTGGAGACCTGGGATCAAGTCCCATGTAGGGCTCGCTGCATGGAGCCTGCTTCTCCCTCTGCCTGTGTCTCTGCCTCTCTCTCTGTGTCTCTCATGAATAAATAAATAAAATCTTAAAAAAAATTTTAATTAAATCATGTTGAATTTTCCAAAGAAATATAATTATGTCTTGGGTTACCATGCTTTCTTTGTTACTCCCCATTAAGCAACATTCAGACAAACCCTGAAAACCACTGTTCTTGATACACAGAATGTCTTCTACTTTCATTTTGCAATCTAATAGTCTCTTTCAGGACTACTCCAAATAAAATGGGTAAAACAATGACTAGCCAGGATGTAGACTCAGAAAATGGTAGGTGTAGGTGGTATGGCTCTTATATAACCATTTGTCATTATGTACGTGGACACTGATGAAAGCTAAGAAGAAGTCAGGGAATGAACTAATACACATATGCCCACTTCACATTATTTGTCTGGTCTCAAAATCCATGGACCTACCATTCTGATACCCACAAAAGTAGGAGTGGAGTTCCAAGAGGAAATAAAATAAGAATGAAGAAGAGGATATAAAAATGGAGTCCAGGGAATAACTAGTTTTCCTTTCACTTTGGAGAGAGAGTCAAGTGTAGAGCTGACATAAAGTTGCAAGTGACACCTGTTTCTCAAGTTTATGTAATAGCTGCATTCTTTAAAAACTACTTTGGCTCTCAGATTGTGCTCCTGAATAATGAAAAGTGAATCCTATCTAATAAGTGTTTTTCATTAATTAATCAATTTGAGAAATATTTAAGCATAAGATAGGCACTTTGTTTTGAGTAGTATTGTGTAACATTGACTATACTGAGTGTTTTGTGTGGCTATTCTTAGTATTTTCAATAAACCTGCAAAGTAGGCACTACAGGAGAGGAAAATGAGGTCTAAGAGGTTAAATGACCACAAGTCCATGGAGCTAGTTAGTGTTAGATGCAGAAATGAAATTTAAAACTCTCTGACTTCAAATACAATGCAATTACTCAATGTGTTTTAAAAGCTCCAAGTACAAATATAATAGTGAATATACATAAAATAGATGAATTCATAGTAAGTCACATTTGGCTAAACCAAATGAGCCAGCCATTTGATAATCTGCTTATTTCTGTGATTATAAGTCAAGTTCCTTAAAATTGTAATCAATTAAATATTTACATTAATAAACAAATAAGCCAAGTAATATAAATTTCTCCAAGGGCTAATGTGATATTAATAGTAAATTTTAGCATATGCTAATAACTTGCAATATGCAAAATAGTATTCTCAACACTTTAAGTTAACTCAGTAAATACTCCCTCAAACCATATTATGTAGGTGCTATTATAATTTTTCTTCTATAGATGATGAAAACAAAATTCATAGAGGCAAGTTGTCTAAAAGTGACAGATGTAATTTACCCTCATGTTCCTTTATTCCTCAAATACCATGATTTGCCTAAATGCTATTCTAACTCATTTTCATATGCTTAGATTATCAGTAATTCATAAATAAATCTTAGAATCACCAGGCATACTGATGTGAATAATGTACAAATGACTATCATAAAAAATCAATACAGAAATTAAATATCCAAATAGACAAAAATCTATGACAGTGTATTTATATTATAACAAATAGGTAGTTGTTTAAATTTTAAGGTCTTTTTGAAATATAAATCCATTTTAAAGTTTTGAAAATTAAATATTATAATCATAACTTGAAAATATAGGAGAAATGACATTGGCTATTAAAATTACATTTTAAAATTAAAAATAATACCTTTTTTTAAAAAGGCAACAAATACCTTACCTCCAGCATCTAGCACAGTGCCTGATATATTAAAAACTCAGTATTTGTTGATTTAAATTTAGACTAACAGATTTACATATCACGGTATTATAGCATGTAATACATGAAGATCAATAGCATTGCTCAACTCTAAAGCTATTTTATTTTTATTTTATTTTTTAAAGATTCTATTTTTTTTATTTTTTAAGATTTTGTTTATTTATTCACGAGACACAGAGAGAGAGAGAGAGAGGCAGAGATACAGGCAGAAGGAGAAGCAGACTCCATGCAGGGAGCCCGACGTGGGACTTGATCTTGGATCTCCAGGGTCATACCCTGGGCTGAAGGTGGTGCTAAACAGCTGAGCCACCAGGGCTGCCCTAAAGCTATTTTATTTTGTAATAATGCCAATACTTTAATTCTTGATTCATGGTCCCATCTTTTTCTAAATATTTTAGCAAGCTCCTTTTAGAGATATATAAAATGTTTACTTCTAATAAATTCCAATTCAGAATATATTTCAAATATGGTTATTTTATTGCATTGAAAATATATAGATCACTTTAATTAAATTAGGAAAATTAAGATTATCTAGAGAAATTAATAAGAAAATTAAAGTATCCAGCACCATAAAATAATTACATGCTTGATTAGAGGTAAGTCAATATAAACAAATTCTAAAGGAATTTTCCATCATTTTTACATATAGGGATGCAAAACTTCTTCAACTGGTAGAAAGTGTCAGAGGAGGATGATCATTACATAAAGAAAAATGATATAGAATGCAAGAGTATCTTCTCCAAATAATTAGTGAATTGAGGTTAATCAGAATAGAATAACAGGAGAATTTGTTCAAAAATATTTACTTAAGTTTCAGTGATGAAGGTATAATATTCAGTTCAGTTGTACTAATCTATCAACATTGGGTCTGGAGGTGGTGGAAAATGTAAGTATGTTCATTTATTTTTTTGTTCAGAAAAATACATAGACATTTTTAATGCATTCTCAAGGAAAGACAACAAAAATAGCCTGGGTGAGCACCCTGGAACTGATTTTGAATTATCAATCCCAGAAAATATGTTCCTGAGAATATAGTTGTCATGCCATTCTTTATATCCAGTGCTTAGCTGTCACTCCATTCCCAAAGGACTGCTAACAACATATCCCTAATATGGTAGCCTAACATTTTATTTTATTTTTTAATTTTTTTTGGTAGCCTAACATTTTAAAGGCATGTTTTTAAAACTGAAGCACACAGAAGTGTGTTTAGATATAGCCAAAGATACAGAACACAGTGAATCTTCCTCAGTTGTCAACTTATCCTACAACAAAAGTTGTCATATTGTGAATATGGCATTAAATAATAGATGCAAATATTTTTCAAGGTAAAGCATTTTTATAAACCTTGTGCTTTTATTAAAATCCTTTTGCATACACTTAGAAGTATTTATTCACTATGGAAACAAGTATTAGCTTAAGGTATTCACCTTCCTAGAGCCTCTTGAAGATTCTCCAATTATGGTGTTTGGGAAAATTAGGAATTACTTCTTCAGTATTCCCATGGCATTTCTTTCATAAGAAATGTGTTGTTGTTGTTGTTGTTGTTTTTTAAATAATGCATCAGTCCAAACTTTTCTAATAGGGGAACCTGGCTATTTCTTCTCCATGCCATCAGCACTTAGCACCATACCAAATTCAGTGAGCACTTAATAAAATGTGTTGAATATATTAGAAATCCTATACAACACACAAAGATAAAACTCTGGTGGCAAAATTCCTACTCTTATAAGTTGGTTAAAATAAATAGTTTTAAGCTAGATCGGTTGAATCATACTCTAAAAAGTCTGTCATTCTTGCCCATTGTCCTTTAAAATGTCCCTGCATTTTAATCATGCTTTCCTCTTTCATAAAACCTATTAACTGGCTTTATGGTTAGAAGACAAATGCTGAATCAATCCACATTTAAGTGTGACTACTTGGCAAGTTTATGCAAATTAATATCTATAGAAGTGTTGGGTTTTTAATAGTAGACTGGATTTTCTTAAGGAAGTATTCTCTAAAAAGTCATTATCTTATCTATAAAAAAATCACCTTAATTATTAGGTGGTTGTTCTGTTTTTCAACTCAAAACCTGACTCTTTAATGGAGGCAGACTTATTACTGTATTTACTCAGACTGTAATTCATGCATCCAAATATTGACTGAAATTTTCCTATATTCAGACACAGGGACAGAGGCACAGAAAGCATCATATAATCTGTTTTCAGGGCTTACAACCCAGAAGGAGAAATGGAGAAACAATAGCTATATTCACTGAGCATTTACTATACACCAGCCACTGTATCATATTACTTATTTAGTCTTTATTACAAATGTTTATGGGAAATATTATTATATAACAACAGAGGAAACTGAAGAACATAGAAGTTTAGTAACACATGCCAGGATTAAATCTCATGCTGACTCTGGAGTCTCTGTTCTTAACCACTACCCTTTCCTGCCTTCCCAAATGCATTAAGATACATGCCTTCCACTGTTTCTATGGTTCTGGGACACTTTCTAGTCAAGGATTTGTTAAAATCTGATGAAAGCTTTACAAAGTATCTACAGACACAAATATTCTACAACATTTCCAGAAGTTTATATTTGTCTGTTATGTGTAGCCATGTTAATGGACCTCAGAATAGAAACCTCTGCACTCTGTAGACTAGTGCAGTAACATTAGACAACATGGGGACCACATTACAACCATCAAGGGTGCCACTGAACCAGTAGCCACATTTAAATCCAACCAGAAACCACTGTCTGAAAAAAAATCCATTGCTATAGAAAGAAAGAAAGAAAGAAAGAAAGAAAGAAAGAAAGAAAGAAAGAAAGAAGTAGATACATTTTAAAGCAAAGTTTCTAGAATATTCACACCCGTTAAGTGACTAAATACTGACTGATTACCAAGGTTTTCAATATGAGAATCATAAGGTGGTATGCCGGTGAGAAGAGTCTAAATAACCAATGTGGTTCTTCACAAGAAAATACTGAAAAAACAATACAACAACACAACATTTTTTGGGAAAGAGCAAGATGTGAATCCACACTTATTCATGTTCTGTTACATTCTATTGAAATTACCATGCATATATGACCTTTTTTTTTGCTAATTTCTGTATGATAAGCATAGAATTTTCAAAAGTTCATAAAACTATCCTTTTGGGGAATACAATAACAGTGGTGCTTTGTTTCCCACCTGTGAATGTGGTAATTTTCATAAACCCGAATATGATACCCAGTTCAGATTGTCAAACTAAAATACTAAATCATTATTTCTTACCTTTTTTTTTTCTTATCATCCCCACTAAGAAAGCTTTTCAGCCCTTTTCTTTCATAATTACTCTCCTCATAAAATTTTAGGTGACCTGATATCCTGGCCATCTGTTATGTATTGTATATATATCTGGGCTTTATATATTTAAAAATTAAGGTAATTTGGGACACCTGGGTGGCTCAGCAGTTGAGCATCTGCCTTTGGCTCAGGGCATGATCTCAGGTCAGGGGATAAAGTCACACATCGGGCTCCCCGTGAGGAGCCTGCTTCTCCTTCTGCCTGTGTCTCTGCCACTCTCTCTGTATCTCTCATGAATAATAAAAAATCTTTTAAAAAATTAAGGTGGTTTGGCTCTTGACAACCAATTTTTACTCCCCTTGGAGACAATATCACCCCCCTGAGAATGTATTGCTAAATTATAAATTTTTGTAAAAGCAAATTTCATATAACAATAATTTGTAAATCCTCATAAAAGTACTTCACATGCCAAGCACTATGCTAACCCTAGAGAATCAAAAATCTGGGAAAATACCTCTTATTTGGCTTAGATTCAAGATAGAAAAAAATGATAAAATCATTATAAGATTCTGTAGAAACAGTCTTTCAGTCACCTAGTATTATTTTGAGGTCCTACAGTTATATGGGTAAACAGGCAAAGAAGTGTTCTGGTTCCTAGTATTGTGATCAGTTTTAGCCATTATTCATGAGAAATACCTGATAGAGCCAAAATTTTAGTTTTATAACTGCTTAACTTGTGTGTTTCTTACAGGAACTTTCTCAATATAGGAATACATCTTTTTATATGTGTATATAGTGTTGTATAGCTCATAATTTAAAAAAATAAAAATAGTTTTTTCAAACTATAAATATGCATAATAATTTGAGGTTTTCTAATGCTTAGAAGAGGCATTTCAAGTAAAAATTAATCATGACTAATGCTTTTATTAATGAGTGGTATAAAATTGATAGATCAACTGATAAAACAATAAATTAATAATAGGTGGACAGATGGATGGATTAACTGATAGATGGATAAATGGATAGATATGTACATATGATAGTCATTCTTTTTTTTTTTTTTTGTAGCGTCTCTCTGGGAAACCAATCCTGACACAATTAGGATCTTTTCCAACCAAGTCACTGCCACCTTTCTTATAGAATCTGATGAAAATGACTATATTGGATTTAATGCAACATACACTGCATTTAACAGCACAGAGCTTAACAGTAAGTACTGTTTATTCTTTAGCCTTTGAATCTTCAGATGCTTTAATATTGTAATGGAATGTTAAAAGTATCAAAACCTAACATTTTAGAACAAGATCATAATTTGTTTCATATGCAATTTCTTTAATGAGTCTCTCTTATGTATAACTCTATTTTCTTTATTTAATAATTGAAAAAATTGGGAAGTTAGAAAATAGTTCATGTTCTTCAAAAAAACCCCAACGGATTTGACAAAAATTACAAAGTTTATGCATAAAAGTAATTCTGAGAATATTCCACATCAACTTAATTTTGACCCAAGTATTAAATTTAGTAAAAAGAGGAGAGGAAAAATATGAAACGAAGTTTATGTGGGTAAACCAACAGAGATAAGATGCAATACAGTAAGAACAAGGAGCTTGTTTTTGCTAAAGCCCCACTGGGGTATAGGAAGCATGTAAATTTAAGACAGTTGGCAATAAAAAGCTGTTTTCATTGTTTTTTTAACTAAGTGGAATGAAACAAAATTACAATGAATTTTAAAAAAGACTGTGTGCCTGACAATTATAAGTATACAGAGTTGCATAGAAGAAGGGAGGAAAGAATAAAACAAGATGAAATCAGAGAGGGAGACAAGCCATAAGACACTCTTAACCATAGGAAACAAACTGAAGATTGCTGGAGGAGAGGGGGTGGGAGGGGTGGCATAAATGAATTATGGGCATTAAGGAGGCATGTAATGGAATGATCACTAGTTATTATATAATCACTAAATTCTACAACTGAAACTAATAACACACTATATATTAATCAAATTTAAATAAAATTAAATTAAAAAATAAATATAATACTGTATAAGACTAGATTTTCAATGTAATTGATTACAATTAGTCACACTATGGACTAAATTTGAAGTGTGTTTTCTTTTTTTTTTAATTCACAGATTATGAGAAAATTAACTGTAGTTTTGAAGACGGCTTTTGTTTCTGGGTCCAGGATCTAAATGATGATAATGAATGGGAAAGGATTCATGGAAGCACCTTTCCTCCTTTCACTGGACCAAATTTTGACCATACTTTTCACAATGATTCAGGTATAATTCATATTTAATTCAAAAATCAAAAAGAAAGTGGTATGTGGTTTCTTTTGTTTAATGTGAACAGTATTAAATTCAAGACAGTTTTTTTTTTTTTTTCAAGACAGTTTTTTCAAAGTTTCTTTTTAAAAGAAAAAACAGGGGCTCAGCTGTTTGGTGCCTGCCTTAGGCCCAGGGTGTGATCCTGGAGTCCGGGCATCAAGTCCCACATCAGGCTCCTTGCATGGAGCCTGCTTCCCCTTTGTCTGTCTGTCTGTCTGTCTCTCGCTCTGTGTGTCTCTCAGAATAAATAAAATCTTAAAAAAAAGAAAAAATAGGCTAATAAATGCATTTAAATGAAAATGGTAAATAAATAGGCAAGTAAAAGTGAGTAATTAAAAAAATTTGTTTTACCCTATATATTCATGAAACATTGAAAAGTACTGAGAGTCCTGGGATCCCTGGGTAGCCAGCGGTTTGGCGTCTGCCTTTGGCCCAGGGCGCGATCCTGGAGACCCCGGATCGAATCCCACGTCGGGCTCCCGGTGCATGGAGCCTGCTTCTCCCTCTGCCTGTGTCTCTGTCTCTGCCTCTTTCTCTCTCTCTCTCTCTCTCTCTCTCTCTCTCTCTCTCTCTTTCTCTCTCTGTGTGTGTGTGTGTGACTATCATAAAATAAATAAAATAAAAATAAAAATTAAAAAAAAAAGTACTGAGAGTCCATTACAGACAAAAACACTTGGGTTGTTGCCCTAGATCTGCCACTTACTGTTTCCTAATTGGATTGTAGGAGGCGATTAACTTTTCTGAACTTTGGTCTACTTTGTCTTGATTTCATTTTCTGATTATTTATTGTTGTAGAGAAATACAATTGATTTTTGTATATTGGTCTTGTACCCTGCAACTTGTTTATTAACTCTAACAGTTTCTAAACACTTTCTTAGAATTCCCAATATACAAGATTATGCTATCTTGGAATAAAGATAATAGATTTACTTCTTCTGAGGAGCTGTCTTAGTCTGTTTAAGCCTCTATGACAGAAAACCACAGACCGTTTAATTTAAACAATAATTTATTTCTCACAGTTCTGGAGGCTGTGGTCAGGAGGCCAGCATGGTCAGGTTCTGGTGAGAGCTCTTTTCCTCCTTCATAGACACCTGCCTTCTCACTCTATCCTCACAGAGAGAGAGGGAGAGAGGGAGAGAGAGAGAGAGAGAGAGTCAAAGAGAGACAGAGAGATAGAGCACTCTTTCCTATATCTTCTCATAAGGTCCCTAATCCCATCATGAGGGTTTCATGACCTAATTACCTCTCAAAGGCCCTACCTCCAAGCACCACCATATGGGGATTAGACTTTCAACAGATAAATTGTGGAAAGACAGTCATCAGTCCATAGCAAAAGGACTATGGAACAGCTGATTCTAAAGCATGGTCATGAGGTTTGTAAATAGCTTTTTTTTAAGATTTTTTTTCTATTTATTCATGAGAGAAACAGAGAGAGAGGCAGAGACACAGACAGAGGGAGAAGCAGGCTCCTCACAGGGAGCCTAATGTGGAACTCGACCCCAGGACTCTGGGATCACAACCTGAGCCAAAGGCGGACACCGAGCCACCGAGGTGCCCCTGTAAATAGCTTTTCATGTGAATATTAGAATTAGCTTTCAGGCAGAAAAATAATATTGGAGACAATAATAGTTGATGAAGAAGAACAGAAGTTCTAGGGAATTATCAGGAGATAAAGATATCATAGCAGGAAGACCACCTATGAAAACCTTGGAAGCATGTATTTATAATACCAAATTAATCACTGAACAGAGAGTTTACAAATCTAGAAGTAATGTAGGTCTTATAAAATAAGGAATATTACAAAAAGGACAGAATAGAAATTTCTACATTTAGATAATTTTCTTGGACAAAAATCCATCCTACAATATAACTTGTCAATAGATTACTGATGAAAATATGGTTCAATTCAAACATACATCACAATCTTACTTTAACCAGACATGGCTCTAGGCATTGAGCACACAGATCTCACATCACCGCTTCTGTAAAGTCTATCTAGAACTTCTGAGTTAAAATTTCCCTTTCCATTAAACATTATAAACACCTCTTTTGTTTTTCCTGCCATGTGGTATTATATTTTCTTATTTGTTTCTTTTCAAAAAAAAAAGAAACTGCTCTTTTTCATCTTTGAATTCTTAGCCCATTTTTAGTGCCTGAATCTAATGAACACACAAAATTATTTTTTAATTTATATGAATGAATGTCTACAACTTTGACTCAATAGGTAATTTCTGATTGAGTTATTGACTGCATGAAATTGCTTATAACATAAAAATAACCTGAGCAAATGTGCACTGTAATTTATTATCAATGGCCACTTCTATTACAGAGATCAATAGTCTCACTTTTATAACCTGAAAAGTAAATAGCAGATTAAATGTCAATTGTGAATGACATCGCTAGGAGGACATTAAAGAGTTCATTTTTTTTTAGGGCAAAAATTTATCTGACTAATCCTGTTCCTTTAGACAACAGCCTCCCTGGAATAACAAAATTTGATTCAGCATACTACTTCAACTTGATCAAAATATTGCTTAATAAAAAGTGATTACTTTTGATCTATTTTTTAATCTATTTCCTCAGTCATCAGCAAAAGCCCCAGCTGATTAATTCTTCCACTTCTTTATTCAAGAAGTATTTTTGTTTTAAGCCCCAGTCCCTATTTAAGGTACTCAGAATATATCCTTGAACAAAAATAAACCAGATTTCCTGCAATCGTGGAACACATATTTTGGAGGGAAAAAAATTTATAAACTAGAACTAAGCAATATGTATGACAAGTAATTACAACTTGTAGGCATGCTAAATATGAATGAGCGCTCCGAGAAAATACATAGAGCTTGGTAAGGGCAGCAGGGAGGGCAAGTGAGCTGAGGTGCTGTTGCAGATTAAAACAGCATGATTAGGTGGGGACTCATTCAGAAGTGACTTTCAAACCAAAACTTTACAGAAATGAAAGAATAAGCCATATAGATTATTCTAGATGGAGGGAATGAGCAGAACAAAGGCTTTAAAGGGAGTATGCCTGACTTGTTTGAAGAAAAGCCAGGAGGCCAGCATGGCTGATGTGGACTAAACAGGGCTAGTAGAGTACAGATAATAATGGGTCTGCTATGGCTTTGGCTTTCTCCTCAATGAAATGAAGAGCTATTGGGTTCTTGAGCATAAAAGTGGTAGGATTCAAACTGGCTGGTTGAACAGTTTATGGAAAGGCAAGGGCATTGTCATGAAGACCAGTGGAGAGTTATTACTCTAACCAGAGAAGAGGCCATCGGACTGTTAGATCAGTGGGAACAGATGCAGTGAGAAGAGGTCAGATTCTGGAAATAATCTGAAAGGAAAAGCAACAGGATTCTGCTAAATTAGTTAGCAGTGTGGAGCTAAGAACAAAAATGTGTTCTGTGTAGATGGCCAATCCCAATAGACCAAACATGTTTAGTATGAAAATTATGACATCCCTACTACCATACATAGTTAATCCTCTTTGAATTAGTGACTTGCCAGAGTCTGATCCTCTATGGATAACTTAATAATCTGCACAGCTACAGACTAATCCCAATGTGATAATCACCCCAGCCCTCTGAAGAACCCTGGCCTAAAAATGGTCAAATAATTTGACCACTTTTTTGTCTTTATTGTAATAAAAAAAAAAGTCTCTACCACACTTGGACAAGAGTAGTTAGAGCAAAGTACAGAAAGCGTTTATATCTATTGACTATGACAGATACCTTTTATGTAGTTGAAGTCTTTGATGTTCAAATGATCATTTTTCTACTTTTATGTCATCATAATAAGAGATAAAATAATTCCACTGATATTTGAAGGATATAAGTACATTACAGGAGAAAAATGGTTTCAGCTTGCCAACAGATTAAATAACTAAAGAAATAAGATGAAAATGACCAAAGTGAAGCAGGGTGAATGTCAGGTGGAGGTTTTAAATAGTTGGGTCGGAAATGGAGTCTCAGGAGAAAGTCCTGTAGCTGGAGTTATTTAAAATGAGACAAGTCAGAGCAGTTCAGAGCCCACCAGAGGCAGTGGTGTAATGAGAACGGATGATAGGATTTAATAGGTTCTCTCCAACTCTCATACCAGTGATTTCATAATCTACCAGACATCCCTCCCCACCCCCAGAGGCATTTTTCTTCCAACCTGCTTTTTTATGTGTCAGAACATCCTACCTCTGAAATGGAAGAGAATTAAATCTCTCCTGCTGTTCCTCTTATCCATGCAGGGGTTTTTTGTTCTTTGCCTTCACTTTAAATGACAGAAAAGTCTAAATGAAACAGATAAACTTTGAATTAACATTGCTTTAGGGAAGAACATCTAAGCCCCTTAACTTTTTGGCTCCTTCTTTAGAACTCTCTCCTGATAGAGCAATGGCCCCCTAAATCTGTGCACTGTCAATGCTTAGAGTTTCTCTGTACCTCTTAGAAGCAAAGGGACCCAGTAGAGATGGCAGCACTGATACAGGGCAGCATCTTGGGGTGCTCAGAAGTGGCTCATTTGTTCAGAACATTCAGAAAGAATGAGGTCAGTAACATATGAAAACTTCAGAAATAGAGGGGTCACAAAAGGGCTAGACAGCCCAAAGAAAGTGTTTCTTTGTTAGCCTTTCTCAATGAAATCATAATTGTTTCTAATGCCTAGGGGTTAGCATAGTGCAGTAGTAAAGACCATTAAAATTGAGACTGAAGTCAGCTAGGTTTAAATCAGCACTGCCGGGATCCCTGGGTGGCGCGGCGGTTTGGCGCCTGCCTTTGGCCCAGGGCGGGATCCTGGAGACCGGAGATCGAATCCCACATCGGGTTCCCGGTGCATGGAGCCTGCTTCTCCCTCTGCCTGTGTCTCTGCCTCTCTCTCTCTCTCTCTGTGTGTAACTATCATAAATAAATAAAAATTAAAAAAAAAAATCAGCACTGCCATTTAGGCAAGTGTCCTGTTTTCTCTCTGCCTTAGTTCCCTCATCTGGGAAGTGGGTTGATGATAATCAGGACTTGACCTCAGAGGCATGTTTTGAACATTAATTTGGTTACTGTGTAAATAAATAAATAAAAATAAATAAATAAATAAATAAATAAATAAATAAATAAATAAGAAAATGCCTGGCACATGACACAAGTGCTATATAAATGTTAGACATTATAACTATGTTATTTTCATGATGCAAAAGCATTCAACAAACACAAATTGGCTGTGGAAATGTTTTAGGTGGTAGGCTAGGGAGAAAAATAGTTACATTACTAAATTTTCAAAAGTATATAGCCCTTTAGATATCTGCATTTCATTTAGCATAGGTACTTTTTTTCTAAAATAAATATGATTTTAGTGCTTTCAAAGTAATATTGTCTTTACTTCCTCATCTTTCTTGTGACGTTGAATCTCAGAAAATATTACTTTCTAATGTTGATAGACTTGAATTTGAACTATTTTCTAATCTACAACTTTCAATATTTATCTCCTAGGTTCAGTTAATTTTACATAGGCATTCACTACCCACAAAATGCTTTTTTAAAATGATTTTATTTACTTATGAGAGACACAGAGGGAGAGAGGCAGAGACATAGGCGGGAGAAGCAGGCTCCCTGTGAGGAGCCTGATACGGGACTCGATGCCCAGGCCAGGATCACGCCCTGAGCCAAAGGCAGATGTTCAATAGAGGAGTCACCCAGGCATCCCACTCACAAAATATTTTATATCAGCTTATTTTCATCTTAAGAGGGATCTCCAAGTTTCCACAAAGTCCTGCTGCTTCTCCAGTTGCTGCTATCTCTACATCACATCAGTGCATGTCCAACACTTTTGCTTCTTAATTGAAGTGTCAGGTGTGAAAGCATAAGTTTGGTTCATGGAGAAATAAGCAGAAAAAGGGATAGAAAGAAGTTGTAAGAAAATCCTAAGGCTCAAGAAAGGTTCACTGTATGCTTAAATTAACAAAATATATTCAATCCCTTGGGTTTTAGGCTGACTCTGAGGTTCATTCCAATTCTCAAAAACATTTTAAGAAACCTGCAGGATTTTATGGGCACCTGAGTGGCTCAGTCAGTTAAGCGTCTGCCTTGGGTTCAGGTCATGAACCCAGGGTCCTGGGATGGAGCCCAGAGTCAGGCTCTCTGCTCATCAGAGAGTCTGCTCATCCCTCTGCCCCTCCATACTCATGCTTTCCATCTCTCTCTCTCTCTAATAAATAAATAAAATCTTAAAAAAAATAAATTTGTAAGATTTTAAAAGAAATTGTCATTTGACCATAGAAACTCCCATGTGGTTATGAAAAATATCTCTTTACTCATTCCTTTTGTGCATTACTTTAATAAAATTAAATTAAAAAGCCAGTCAAATTGGTGTAACAGGAATAAAATTAAGCAACATTCAGCTAATCCATATTGAGAATTCAAAACTGAACTAAGTGTTGCTCTTTTCCCAAAGTCTAGCAGTTTTAAGTCACATGTGACCATGAATGTAATACACAATATAACAGAATAAGTGACATCAGAAAATTCAAAAGGAGTGGTTCCATATAATTGGGAACAGCAAGAGGAGCTTTCTAAAGGAGATGGCAGTTTGATTTAATGACCTCAAAAAATTAGTAGGATTTTGACAGGTACAATTGTAAGGAGAAGTAGAGTGACAGAGAAAAAAAAAGACTCATAAATTTTCTGGGTGTTGAGCAAATTAAAATAATCTAATATTGTAGAAGTGCTATATGTAAATAGATGAATTATAAGAACTATGGCTAGAAAATGACATTGAAGTCTACATAGTACAGAAGCCTCAAACATCAGAGTAAATTTGTTTGCTTAGTAGGAAAAAAAGAGATGATAAAAGATGTTCAATAAGGGACCAATTAGATTGTGCAGAAAGAGGCATTATTCAGCTAGGATGTAGGAGATGAATTCTCATGGAGAGAGAACTATAATGAGACACACTGGAAAATAGTGTCAATGACAATATGACTTAAATCATAGTCCCAAGAGTTAGGATGTCCCTACTTGTCCTCCTGGTAAGATACTTCAATAGAAATATTGTGTGAACTTCTGGTCTCCATACTCTGAGTGGAATCAACTGGATGTACAACTAAATGAGAGCTTCTGAAATGAAGAAGCAGCTGAAATTGTGCCATATTAAATTATTGAGGGCCAAAAGGATGGATAATCTTGAGAAGTCTTAGAAAAGGCAAAATAGTAGTCTTTAAATATTTGTAGAGTTAGCATAAACTTATTTATCCTTAATGTGCTCAGGAGAAAAACTAGAAAAAATAAGCACATAATAACTTAAAAAAAAAAGAGAGTTTTTAGTTGTGTTCAAATGGAATGGGCTGCCTTGAACACAATGATTCCTGCTATATCTGACAGATATCAGAGGTCAAGTGACCCCCACAGGCAAATGTAAATGAAATTTAAGGACAATCAACATAGACTAAGAAAATTTTTATGCATATAATACTCTATTTTTAAAATACAAAATTTTATGAAGAATTTCCTTCATCTTCTAATTTAAGAATTTAACTGATATCCCAAAATAGTTAATATATTATTTTTAATTTTTATTTTATCATATTACTTATTATTATGTTATTTTATTTTCTATTCCAAAACATGCAATTCTATGTGATTTAATATATTGTGCTTTTAAAAATTTATTTATGCAAAATTCATAAGGTACTATATCCACATAACTATGTTTTATCTGAACAATGATTCACAGCATCATGATATCTATTACTTAATGAGTAAACAATAGATTAAAAATATTTCTAATTATAACTAATTGACTATGAACATGGCAAAACATAAAAAGGAGCACAAAAGTTTTTATGTTACATAATTGCTGCTAACTAGAAATATTTCTGAACAGGGTAGCTATTTCATTATTTATTCATGGTCTTCAGTGGTATTTTAATTATCTCCTCCCTAACTATATTCTAATCAACAAAATTAAGGTCAATTCAAAAAGGATTTAGAATTTGGCATTTAAAGGGTGGATTCTAGATCGTCTTCTCTGTATCTCTGCTACATTTTTTATTAGGTTGAATAATTGAGCACTAACTATAGAGATAAAACAAGAACTCATAAAATGCCGCAGAATTATATAAAGTATAAGTAATGTGTTAATATAAAATGTTAAACATGCATTCATTTCCATTTTACATTTTATAATCTAAATCCAGTGAATGTATATTTATTACATTTATTAATGTATTTGACCATGATTTCACCTTGATAAAATATTCATTCTGAGGGGTATTTTTGGCTTCACTAATCTAAATATAAACTGATATATCTATTGGAAGTTTTATTAGTATTTTTCTTCATATCTTATCCTTATTCTACATGTTGTAAATGAATGAATTTCAATTCTATACAGCATTGCCTATAAAAATTTTTGTTGGAAAACATAAGAGAGAAGATGTTTGATTTCAAATAAACACTAAATTTCAGTATTTCATAAAAACTACATTTATTAGAAATCAGATTTAGAAATTAGAAATTAGATTTAGCCAATATTTAATTTGCTTCATAACATATTTTGTTACATGATTCTGGCTTTCTGTCGTAATATATAAGCTGCAAACTAAGAATAAAAAAATTAAATTTCCCTAAGAAAATGTTCAAGATTATCTCACTCTAGCAACTCTTCCCACACTTCAAATAACTCAAATCATTGGTTGGAATAATGAATTCCAGACCAGAGAGCACTTTATGCAGTGGCTTGAGCTATTTTAGAAGGCTTTTATGTAGATTAGCATACTTCCTGCTCTTCTGTGATCTGATTAGTTATCATTCAAAGGAATATGGAAGATAAAACCATCATAAAATCAGGTAACTTCTTATATAGAAAAATGCAGTATAGTCAATGGATTAAAAAACTGATGGTCTTTGAAACTCTTAACATTGCCTTCAAATTTGTGCTTAAATACTTGCATATATCATGACTTACTTCACCAGCATATCTAAATACTCTCATGTACTCATTGTCTCTAAAGAAGTTAACTGATTAAAAAAATCTAGTAAATGGGAATTAAAGTGATATCTGGGTATGATAATATGATAAAATAATCATGTGGACTCATAAAAAGTCAAAGTTTTATATATACCCTTAGTGATGTTCCAGTTCAAGGCTCTGGTTTTATAAATTGGGAGGTCCAGATTGAGAGGTGATTTTCCTGACTAATAATTTATTATATAGAGACAGCGCCTTCTGGGGTCACATCTACCTTCCTTTCCATTCCTTATATTTTCACCTTAAATTACTCCTTTCTCCTTATAACATGATATATCTCACACAATGAAATTGCTGACAGTTGAGTGAAGTAAAAAAATTTTTTGTTGTTTTTACAGGATTTTACATTTCCACCCCAACTGGACCAGGAGGAAGACAAGAAAGAGTAGGACTCTTAAGTCTCCCTTTAGACCCCACTTTAGAACCAGTCTGCCTCAGTTTCTGGTATGTCATAGACACATGTTAAATACTATCTTATTTAATGAATACCATTGCCTTTCTCACATTGCCATGCTCTGATTTCACTAAGACATCCCAAGTTTTCATGGATTCACCATTATTTTTCTAATTGATAAAGTAGCAAAATGCTGGGAGACTTTACTAGCAGCTCCCTCACTAAGCAAAAAGGGAATATTTCAGAGAAAGTAAAGGATTTAGAAGAACCCTAAGTTGCATTTATTCTAATATTGTAGAAATCCAATCATTTGTGCTTGTTTCCAAACTAGGTATTATATGTATGGTGAAAATGTCTATAAATTAAGCATTAATATCAGCAGTGACCAACACATGGAGAAGACAGTTTTCCAAAAGGAAGGAAATTATGGAGAAAGTTGGAATTATGGACAAGTAACATTAAATGAAACAGTGGAATTTAAGGTTAGCAAAATACCTTGTGATTCATAACCATGTGTTTGTGTTCTAAAAATGGTGATGCAATTATAGGTTAAGGTAATATGATGAAAAAAATATTTTATGAATATAGCCAAGTCATTTACTTTCTCAATCTCTTTAAAAAAAAAAAAAAAAAAAACAATCTCTGGGGATCCCTGGGTGGCTCAGCGGTTTAGCGCCTGACTCTGTCTGGCCCAGGGCATGATCCTGGAGTCCCGGGATCGAGTCCCACGTCAGAGTCCCTCGATGGAGCCTGCTTCTCTCCCTGCCTGTGTCTCTGCCCCTCTCTCTCTCTCTCTCTCTCTCTCTGTGTGTGTGTGTGTGTGTGTGTGTCTCTCATGAATAAATAAATAAAGTCTTTAATAAAAAAAAATCTCTGAGTTTGGGGCCGCTGATGGCTCAGTTAGTTAAGTATCCAACTCTTTGTTTCAGCTCAGGTCATTATCTCAGGGTCATAAGACGAGCTGGCATTGGACTTCACATTGGGCATGGAGCTTGCTTGAATTTCTCTCCCTCTGTCCCTCCCCATCCCCTACCCCAATGCATGCATTCATGAGCAATCTCTCTCTTTCTCTCTCTCGCCCTGTCTCTCTCGAAAAAAATAAAAAATCTCTGAGTGCCCTTATTTTCATTTATTCACTAACTTATTTAAAACCACTTAATGAGGGATCCCTGGGTGGCGCAGCAGTTTGGCGCCTGCCTTTGGCCCAGGGCGCGATCCTGGAGACCCAGGATCGAATCCCACATCGGGCTCCCGGTGCGTGGAGCCTGCTTCTCCCTCTGCCTATGTCTCTGCGCCTCTCTCTCTCTCTCCCTCTGTGACTATCGTAAATAAATAAAAAAAATGTTTAAAAAAAAACACTTAATGAGGAACAATTTACTACATTAAAGTGCTATTTATAATGATCCGTAAATTCCATAGGTATTTTGTGGGATATTACAGCTTTCTTCAGCAACTTTCTAGCTCATGCCAACTATCTCTTCCTATGTCCCCTAGCTACCTAGGACTTCAGTTTTCCACAAATATCACCTAGATCTGCCTTTTACTTTTCTAGGAAATCATCCTTTCCTATTAGAACATCCACACCCATCGATATCCATTCACCCTGCCCCACTTTGACTTAATCTATGTATTTCCTTTAGAAACAAATTCCATGAGCTGTATCATTGGGAAGTCTCTGATCATTTATTTCACATTAAGGTGAATTAATTTTTCAGATAACAGCTTAATGTGTTCTCTTCCTAAGGGTGTTTGCAATTAAAATACAAGATAATACAGGCTAATGGTTTGAGCAAACTAACAATGTTTTAATCGGGTCATTTCAGACAAGAGAGTATAACTTTCAGAAGGTGTATATTTGGACAGACATAGTTATTGTGACCGCTTTAGTTTTTCTGTGACTTTGTGGAAGGAGGCAGTAATTAGCCACTCTCATTTACATTCCTTCCATCTTCCTTTCCTTCCTTCCCTTTTTCTTCCTTTTCTTTTTTCTCAGTCTATCCTCCCCCCACCCCCAACCCCCGGGAAGTTTTCTTCTCTAACTTTGTTCTCTGATAATTCAGGGAAGGATAAAGGAAAATGGAACATCAGAGGAATGAAGAAATGGCAGAACAGGAAAATAAGTACAGTAGTTCCCCTTGTCATACATCCTAAGACCCCCATTAATACCTTAGATACTATTGAACCCTACATATACTATGGTTTTTTTCTTATACCTACCTACTTATGGTAACATTTAATTTATTAGTTAGGCTCAGTAGGAGATTAACAATAAGAAAATAGAACAATTACAATAATTACTGTAACAAAAGTTATGTGAATCTGGTCTCTCAAAATATCTTATTGTACTCACCCTTCTTATGATGATGTGGAATGACAAGATGCCTACATGGTAAGATGAAGAGAGGTAAATTATGTTTATGTAGGCATTGTGACATGGCCCTAGGCTGCTGCTGACCTTCTGACATACGGAAGGATCATCTGCTTCGAAGTCCAGCTGACCACTAGGACCAGAAAGTGAAACTTCAGATGAGGGGGAACTACTATATTGCAGTGGCCAATATGCCTCAATTCATGGAGCATTTTTTTTCAATATAACTGGATCCACTTTCTCAAAGTTAGCTTATCAGGCAGATTGAGAGCATCGAGTTCCACAAATATTTGCACCTTGGCTTTGCCACTTTTTCGTGAAATCTTGTCACTTCAGTCTCTTTGAAATTCAGCTTACCCGTACATGAAAGAGAGAAGATAATCCTTACTTGGAATTGCGTCTAGCATGGAGAAGGTGAAATGAATGAACAAAGAGTGAATGATGTATGACTGTACAATAGTGTTGAAAACATTGAATGAGATAATATATACAATGTGCCTTGCATAGTAATTAATATATCGTGGGTTTATGTCTGTTTATGTCTTTCCTACACAAGAGAGGACCCAGGAAAGTTCAGCTAAAGTACCTACTGTCTTTAAAAACCTAGTAAGTTTCATCTGACCACTGAAACTTTCTTCCAAGTCTGGGTCTGTGTCATCTGGGCATTATCCACACACGTATCTCACACCAGCTTCCTGGGTGAACTATGACTAGTACTAGATGGCCCTGAATGATCATATTTACTTCTATCTTCTCTTATCCCTTTCTTTTCTCATTTAAATTATCTAGTTGGTGTGAATTCTCTTTAGGGCTCATATGCTATAAGAAGGCAGACAGCTACCTGGATTTCTAATATTATTGAAGGGAGGATTCTGTAAGAAGTTTGCTGTCCCCTGTCAGAAAATGTGGATCCATGACAGAACACAGTAGAGTATGACAAATCATGAGAGACAGAAACACAGGAAACTGTGGCAACATTGGTTGCCACAAGAAAGGAAGGAAGGAAGGACTCAGAAGGAAGACACTGGTGAGAATTTAGATTAGTATGAACACATAAGTAGGGAGAAGGATTATAAAAAAGCCTGATCTATCAATATTTCACTATACAGAAACTGGCCCTCTTATATTTGGAGTTGGCAATTCTGATTTTCCAGCAAATATTGAGCCAGAAGAAGAATCAAGTCCCAGAAGATTAGAGTGGAATGACTTCATATCCTTCTCTGAATTGCAGGTTGCTTTTAATGCTTTTAAAAACCAGATCCTGAGTGATATAGCATTGGATGACATTAGCCTAACATATGGAATTTGCAATGTGAGCCTTTATCCAGAACCAACTTTGGTCCCAACTCCTCCACCAGAACTTCCTAGTAAGTAACTATAACATGTATTTAAATCATTAATATTTTCAAGTAGATCTTCCTTTGACTTTTTAAATTATCTCAGCCTAACATTTTTTCACAAAAAAGGACTCCAAAATATAAGTAAAATGGAAGTTAGCAAAATATTACATATTATACATACACTTACAAGGAAATCACTCAGTACTTTGTTATGCATCATATTTATAATAATTTTAGTATATTTTTATTTTTAAAATAATGAAGATGCTAACTTCCATTTTGTTTCCACTAGTATATGAACTAATGCTGTATTGGCCATGTAGCATGGCAGATAGTCTTTTGGGAAGGAGCCTTAAGATTCTCATTGTCTTCTTAAAGAAAAATGTTAAGATCTCCAGAGGAGTTTGGTTAAGCTTGAAATCCACCCAGTATATTTCCAGAATAATTTAATAATAATCATTGGGCTTAGACTTTTTCTATACAGACCAAGACCACACAAAAAGTTTGTATCCTGAAATGGTGCTTTTGTAAGACCCTACAATGTGCTCCCTTCATGGAGCCACTAATGTGTTATAGTTGAGCAGTGACAAGGATTTCCAATGTCCTGTGGAGTCTTTTAACACAAAAGAACAAAATAGTCTGTATCCACCTGTGCTCTTAATTCAAATTAGAAACTGACATTTCAGAGGAAAAAGGGGCATTACTACCCATCTTATCATGTCAAAGGAGACAATAACTTCATATCACTTTCTGACTATGGTATTTGACAGGAAAAAAAAACATATAATGATAAATTATATCAAACATGTATTTTGCCTCTACTTGGATGTCTTCACTGCACTATAGTTTTGATATTAAAAAATCCCTTCTATCTTTGGATTATGGCAGTTGGAAACTGATCTAGTTCTACAGCTTTGCTTATGTCAGACCTCATGGATGTTTTTGTTCTGCTATGGCTCTGAGCCCACAAACACAGCACTTTTCCCTTTTTTCATTTCCTTCCAAGTGCACTTGAAACTCTTCCCATAATCACATCAGGAAATCAACTTGGAGAACATACCCAAATTTGACTTTACTTCTAAAACTATATATTTTTCTGCTCTTAATCTTTAAGACAAAAAAAAAAAGAAAGAAAGCAGACTTTTCAGATGAGAAGTTTTAACAATTGAAAAGGTCTACAGATAAATGACTGGTGTTTGAGAACACATAACAAGTGAATTGTCGTTAAGATGAGGATAGTAATTACATTGTCATACTCGTTCCCTGCCACCATATTGAATGTGCAGTTACATTCTATCAAAAGGCTAGTTTACACTTAACCATCTTTTGCATTAGCATGTTTAGATGCTTGTATGGGCTATACAAAAATTCCTCAGTATTTCAAACATTCATTCAACTTTTATAAATAGCTACTATATAATAAGCACTGCATAAGAAATATAATATGGCAATACCAATGCATGGAAAAAAATTTAATCCATGTAAATAAATACTTAAGACAATATATAATTTTGTGCCCCTAAAAGTAATAAATGAGAAAGTAAATGATAGACTTTGGAGAAGAAAGTGTGAACTGGAGAAAGCTTTAAAGAAACATTAAGAGACAGGACACTCATAAAATTGAGACAGGACACTCATAAAATTTAAACAAAAGCAGAAACGTAGCATGCCTTCTCATATATATTGGTCACAGAATTGTGGCAAGAAGTGAGTTTCATGACACCAAACTCTGAGTGTCACTTACCTTTGCTTCACCAGTGTCTGACTGTTTCCTAACATCACACAAATAGATGATTAATAATATTAGATATGAACTAAATCTTCCTCTCTCTCTCTCTCTCTCTCTCTCTCTCTCTCTCTCTCTCTCGTTGGCTACAATTTTCTTTTGGCAACACAAACATTTTTGTCAAACAAAATATTAATACCAGAACTGGAGCAGAACTCAACATCAGTGCAATAATTTGGGCCATCTGTCAATCTTTAAAAGTAATTGCTTCACTTTATTTTGTATGAATGCCCCATACCTTACCTGTCTATTATACAAAACATTCTCATGCAAAAAAAATTAACATTCTAATTATTAAAGTCACTACTAGTTTGACAAATAATTCCTATGGATAACAAATATTAGAAACATCTTGCTATTTGACATTTCAGTCATTTAAAATAATTTTCTTAATCCTTTCTGCCAGTGTGTTCCTCTATTTATCAATAAGTGGTCAAGAAGAAATTTTTCTAGTAAAAGGAATAGTTTCATAGGCTTTACTTTTTTAAATAACAATCTCATCATTATCTGAAATAGAAAATGTGAGGGCAGCCCGGGTGGCTCAGTGGTTTAGTGCCGCCTTCAGCCCAGGGCGTGATCCTGGAGACCTGGGATCGAGTCCCAGATCGGGCTCCCTGCATGGAGCCTGCTTCTCCCTCTGCCTGTGTCTCTGCCTCTCTCTCTCTCTCTCTCTCTCTCTCTTTCTCTCTCCCTGTCTCTCATGAATAAATAAAATAAAATCTTAAAAAAAAAGAAAATGTGAGATAACTTCTGTACATAATGTCAAACATACAAATAAAACTTTAATATAATTTCTCATATTAATATTTTAGTCAGAAAAAGAAAAGAATAGCACTTCAATGTCAAGGTAACATGCTATCCCTGCATATTTTAAAAGGAAATTATAACGGTAGAATAATCTATCTGATTTTAAAATATAAACTTTAGAATTTGCCCAAAGTATATTTGTTCCAGTTTCCAAATGGTTCACTTCAGGGTAATATTTAGCACAGCAGAAAATGTTAATTACCATCAAATGCATTCTGAACAATTTCATTCTAATGCCATTTGCAATTGGTTCAGTGAAATTCTTATGTGAGCAGAGCTTTTCTGGTTCCAGATCACTGATTTGTTTAAGCAGAAATAAAAGGAAACCATGGCTGACTGGCTAATAGCCTTTCTTTGGTTCTTACAGGGCATTTAAACAAGAAAATAATCCCAGATCAGTAGCTGACTAGCAAAATTCCTCCCTTGTTCCTAGGGATCCACATCGTGCCCAGTTTGGGGAAATGTTCAGTTCAGTTTTCATACCTACAGGGATTCTTCATTTTGTGACTTCGATCACCTGTTGCTGAATTAGCTCTACAGTTGTTGCCCTATGACTTCAACATAAATAATTTAAATGTGGAAATTGTATTGTGAACACTTTTCAAAAGCAACCATTCCATTACACAAATATTATGTTAATTTGCAACACAATTTGGGCGATTGATGATAATACACCTACTGAATAGAATAGGTATATACAAAAAGGAATCCACACTTCTGGCCCTTAACTTATTTCTGTAGCTGTTAAAACTATTTAAGAGAAAAGATACAAGCTCTAATTCTGGCTATTCTAATAGTCACTTTTTATTTCTACAGTTTTGATATACTTGGCCATTATTTGGGCCATTTTCCATTTCCAAAGACAAAATCAAAGTTAATTTGGCAAGTTTCACAGACAGGACATTCATTTAATTCTTCATATAGAAATGAATTGGCACCTGTCTACTTGTCTTATAATTATATGGGGGCTGTATTCTTGCAGAGCTGCTTGCCCTTCATATCATTAGTGTGACTTGATATTTAATTCCCTAGCAAATTCCATATTAACTGCACTCATTTGCTCCTGTATCAGTGTGTTTTCATCTATTCTGTTTTGTTTTCACCTTTTTATGTTGAAAACTAATAGCCTATTTGTTGGCTAGATTGCTATTCATTACAAATAAAATGTAGACTATAAGGAATGAAAATTTGAACTTCATTGTCATAAATTTAAGATAAATATTAGTATCATGGCTGGTCACTGGAACCTGTGAATGGAACATAAATTGTGATAAACTGAACACAAAATTTTTATGGGATTTTCCATTTTATACAACTTGAATTTTTAAGATGTTATCTGTAATTGCGTAGGACTTATCTATTACTATGATGATGAAAAATAGTCGCTGATCTTAACAATATTCAAGCATCAATGAAAGGCATTATTCCTCAAGGCACACCTATTATTTTGCCACAAGCATCTTTAATTTGAACCCTCCTACTGTAAGTGGGAGCTGGGCTCTTCTCTTTCTCACCTCACATTGACACATATCTCATGAACGTCAGAGGCTTAAGCATGGATTAAAAATGACATGCCTCAAGAAAAATATCTATCCTTGACAACCACTTGCAAAATACTGCAAGCTATTTACATATTGTATGTAGTGAAAATCCCTGCTGGCATAGTAAGGAATTAATCAGAATACAAATCTTTGAGAGAACAGCTTCAAGAAAAGGAAAAATGAAAAAGTTTCACAGCTGTGAATAAAATTCCCTGTACCAGACAGACAATTTAACTCTCGTTCTCTGGGTAGGAGTTTATCTAATGACACAATATGATTGTGGTACCCAGAAGTACATTTTCTGAGTCTTTGGCCCCTCTAATAAGGAGCCCATCTCCATTATAGCAATACCACCATTAAAATAAATTGTGTCTTCATATTTAAAATGGCTGAAAGTACTTTTCCCAATCCCTTACCATCATTTATATACAGAAAATAACTGAGAAATCTTACCAGGCCAAGGATCAGAGATATCTTACTGGCCAATTATTTGACATGAAACTATATCTGATATTCATTTCAAAACAGTTATTCTTAAATATTTCAGAAGAATGAATTTTCTAATGCTTCTGTTTAGTGGAGAAATGCTAAGTGAACTGTCTTGACAGGCTTAACAATTACACTTGACAACATTTATGTACTAGGTGTATATTTATTAAAGTCCTATTATTCATCTACACATAATGTACTGCTGTGTTATGTGAAAATTCAATACATTCTCCAAAATATCAGTGATTTACTCTATTAGGAGAATACAACTTTGAGATCTTCCTATTCTTTGAGGAGAAAATAAGAATGATGGTTTAAAATCAGCAACAACAAAACAAAAACAAATCCACTGGCCACACTGGCTATGTTTAAACTAGTGAAACAGAAGAACTGGTTTTCCCCAACCTGCAATCTGCAATCTGCAATGCTAGACTTTGCCTTGCAGAGTTTTTATACTACCCCTCCCCATTAGCTGCACAGAGAATAGAAGGGAACATTTCATGTAACTAAGAATTATTATTTTTATTATTTTTTAAAATATTTTATTTATTTATTCATGAGAGACAGACAGAGAGAGAGAGAGGCAGAGACACAGGCAGAAGGAGAAGCAGGCTCCACGCAGGGAGCCTGATGTGGGACTCCATCCCGGGACTCCAAGATCACGCCCTGGGCCGAAGGCAGTCGCTAAACCACTGAGTCACCCAGGGATTCCATCACTAAGAATTATTAAAATTAAATGAGTATGTGTAAGTGGAAGTTGAAGGTTTGTAGTATATACTTCTTCAGAAATCTTTGCCAGGCAGTTAGTCACACAATCAAGGAGAGTATTGACCTCAGATATAGGATCATACAATTCCCTGGCCTTTCATTCATTCCTTCAAGTGGAGAACCTGCCCTCTTCCTCCTTATCACTCTTTTTTTGGTTCAAATACCTTCTTTATTTTTTTAAATATTTTATTTATTTATTCATGAGAGACACAGAGAGAGAGTGAAGCAGAGACATAGGCAGAGGGAGACACAGGCTCCCCCCCAGGAAGCCCGATGTGGGACTCTATCCCCCAATCTGGAATCATGCCCTGGGGCAAAGGCAGAAACTCAACCGCTGAGCCACTCAGGTGTCCCCAAATACCTTCTTTAGCACCGTGTGTACACTACCTCCTTCCTTCTAAATCCATCCATCATTGACCTTACTTGTTAGCATTTTCATCCATGTTCCATTCTGCCCTCCTTCTCTTTGTGTATACAAGCCTATGTCACGTACCGTCAAGTGGCATTCACTTGCCTGTGGCTTAGACCAGACAGTGAAAAGGATGCAGAGTTTAATCAACCTAATAGGAAGACATATTGAGGGGTGAGGGTGAGACAAACCGAATTGAAGTCTTGAGTTTGACCCTAAATGGATGTGTACAGCATCAGCAAGCAACTGAATACTGCCAATGTTCGTATCGTCCATTTAAAATTGAAATAATGAAGTAATGACCTAATCCATGTGTATGTATTAAGAATTCATATTGAATATGTCAGGTAATGTGTAGGCACTTTTCATAATTATGTCTGATTTTTATAACAACCCTGAGAATCTCTAATATATATCTCTTTTATGTATGAGAAAACCAACTCTCAAAAAGACAAATAGATAACTCAGAGTGACAATTTTAATCTACCATCTCCAACACATCTTCCTTTTATACACCATTTTCTCTCCCCGCTTGAACCAAAGTGCATGGAAACAATTTGCAAATTATAAGGCTTTGCAAGAGGTTTTATTATTCTTGCTAAGTTCATCTGAGTCTGGATCAGCCCGCCCAGGAGACCATGTAAAATAGACCAGATTTACTACCTTTAGAACCGGATAATAAGGCAGCACCACTGTTGGACCACAACCGCCTCTCTCTGTTCAACTGGAGTACATTATGAAACCCAAGTTTAAGATGCTTATTACATACAAATTTGGAAGAAGCACATGAATTGAAAAGATACACATAAGTGAGACACAAGACATGTAAAAGAGGAACCAAAAAAAAAAAAAGAGTATGACCGAAGGACTGCAGAAGGTGTAAAGACATTTCATTATCTCTCATATAACTTGATTTGTCTTACTGAGAGTAAAGAATTTTGGCATCCTCTGTCTTTAAGTAGAAAAAATATATATGAATCTCAGTTTCCTATATTCTTAGAATTAGATTACTTTCATTCTTTTGATTTTAAATGTAACATGTTAATACAAATAAGATAGAATTAGGATCCTTGAAGTAGTTGATGAATCTTTATATTACCTTAGGATTTTCTTCCAACAAGCAGGAAGATAAATATAAAGTAGTTTAAGAATCTCATAAAGTTAATCTGCCAACTTGAACCATCTTAGTTTTAACTAGAGTTTCTGTGCTGTATTTTTTCTAATGAATTTTTTCCCAACCTGACTCCTGGACAATGTCAAGTATCAGACCAGTGTCAGCAATTATTTAGCAAGAGAAGTTTCAGTTTGTCTCCCTTTCTTGAGAGTAAAACATATACAGTATACAGGATAGTGAAGCTGTCTCTCTACTGAGGAAAAAGAGACGGGGGAGGGGGGCGGGGGAGGTAGAAAAACAAAAAGAAAGAAAACAACAAAAGAAATGATAGAATGAATGATTTACTTGTCTTTCAAATAGGAGAATGTCAAATTTAAGATTTGTTCCATTATCGAAATTCATTATTTTCTATATCAGGGATCAGATACCTTATTTCATAAGGCCTACTTATAAAAGATGCTTAGCAAAATTATTCCTTGTCCAAATAATTTTGGGAAATGCTGCACATGATTACACCTTCTCGGAGATTCAAAGAACTGAACAATATTTAAGGTTTTGAGAAGTTCTTCTGAAAAAGAAGTGGAGACCTGTTAGCCTGCACCTTTCCCTTACTTAAATTGCAAGGTTTTCATTTACACAAACTATAAATTTTATGTGCCAAAATCAGTATTCCAAGAAATACAATTGGGAATTTGCTGCATATAATATTATCTCTCTGAAATAAGCATTGTGTTACTAATGATTTTTCATTGTTTTCCTTTTCTCTTTTTCAGCTGACTGTGGAGGACCTTTTGAACTGTGGGAGCCAAATACAACGTTCACTTCCATGAATTTTCCAAACAGCTACCCTAATCAGGCTTTCTGTGAGTTGTTTTTTTTTCCCCAGGCCATGAAAAACAGATGTATATATCAAGGCTCGATACCCCCTTTGATTCAGCAAAGTGGCTTATAAATTTGACAATACTAAGTATACCTACCACGTCTATGAGATTGTATAATGATAACAACAATAACAATAATAATTACCAAACTTACTTAGCATTTATTTCACACTAGGCACTGTGTTAGTGCTTAATATGTTATTTCAGTCAATTCTTGCAATCACTCTTTGAAGAAGGTGCTATTATTTTAATTCTCAAATCTAAAAATTTAATAAAACCAGTAAGTGAAAGTATCTTATTTCAGATACTGCTCTCTTAATCACTCTTCTTGATTATGCATAAAATATATATAACAAATTTACAATTCCATAGAGTCAGTGGGAAGTATAAAAAGTAAAGGGCCAATTGTGACATCCACACCTTTTGTAAATATATATTACTGTCAATAAAGCATGCAGCTAGAGTAATGTAGTTAGATTCTCAGGATAAAAAATCAAATACATGTGCCTGAGTGGCTCAGTCAGTTAAGTGTCCAACTCTTGATTTTTGCTCAGGTCATGATGTCAGGATGGTGAAATCAAGCCTGGTGTCAGGCTCTGTGGTCAGTGAAGAGTCTGCTTCAGGATTTTCTCTTATTTTTCTCTCTGCTCCTCCCCCCACTTGCACACACTCTCTTTCTCTCTCTAAAATAAATAAATCTTTTTAAAAAGATGAAATTATGAAGATTTACTTAAAAATCTTAAGTCTAGAGAGAAGATGATAAAACTGCACAGAGCCTATCTCTTGTCAATATTCTAACTGGAGGAGCTCATTCAAGCTGCATAGAAATTGTATTAAAGATGCCAATTCCCCAGCACAACCTACAAATATTTCACTTCGGTAGGTCTGGGAAACAGACATGTTTCCTCCCATGGCTGCACCTAACATAGCAACCCCAATCTAAAAGGAGAAATCTACCAGTGAAAGAAATGCCCTAATGACAGTGAAAAATGTGTTGTTAGAAAATGTCAACTTTTCTTCCTTCAAATGACCCAGAGATAAGTAAGTATCACTTTCATAGGAGAATAGAGCCACTATTCCAGGGACTTATCTGATCCAAAAAAATAAACAGCCATGAATCTAATTTGACTTGTATGAGGAACCAGAGATTATCATCTCTACTTCACATTGAAGACATCTTTTAAACATATCATTTGTACAATGTACTGATCTAAAAATTCCAAAAGTCAGTGGAATATTAAAAGAACAATCTATAGAAATTTATTAAATTTATTGATTTATTAAATAAATATTTATTGGGTACTTTATATGTTAGGCACTGAAGTGAGAAAAGAAACAAACATAACAAAGTCTAGATGAAAATGTGGATAAGTTGTCAGGCTTTACACAATGCCCAAGCTATTGTAACAATAAGGGAAAAGGCAGGATGCCGTGGAGGGGCATGAGGTTCATACGAAAATTCAGAGAAATTTGAAATTCTCAAGAGAGTCAAGCTTTTGAGGGAAATCAAAACAAGTGTGTTATAAACTGTGTTGTCATATATCACTTCTTCATGTGTGTGTGTGTTATGTATTACATTTAAGGTGTTTGGAATTTAAATGCACAAAAGGGAAAGAATATACAACTTCATTTTCAAGAATTTGACTTAGAAAATATTGAGGATGTAGTGGAAGTCAGAGATGGTGGAGAAGATGATTCTTTGCTCTTAGGTAAGTCTGAGATTTAAATATTGTGAAAGTTGTATGGCTCAAGAGATTGGATTGATGGAGAGAGCATTTCCCAATAACTGTAATCACTCTTTTGCAACTAGCAAAATGAAATTACAACAGCAGAGTAACATGTCAAATTTTATGTGGAGCTTCCAAAATGAGAGTGTTTGCAATAATAACAGAGTAATATTCTTTTTGAGCATTCTTGGCAAACCAGAATTAATATTTTTGCATTAGCAGTTTCTACCGACTGTATTAATTCGCTACAGTAAGCATTACTCCTTGGAGACTAAAAGCTAAAAGACACACATTACTCATAATATGCATTATGTGTACATCATATTTCCAAAAACAGCTATTAAATCCAGTTTTGTTTCACTTCAAACTAAAGGAACAAATTGTGTTTTTATGCAAATATTTTTTATGATTTTATTTGCATTTATTATTACTCTGATTGTGTCTCCAGTACCAGTTGCTTCTATGTAAATATCTGAGAATTATTCAAATATTGATCAAAGTTGATTTTTCCCTATTTTCTACTGACTACTATTTTTCTTAAATAAACATGGGGAAAGTATACTATTCCAGAGGAAATTCTGGTATGTAGGTCATAAAATACATGGTAACATAATAAAAACCTATCGATCAAATGTCATGGCTAATATCCTTTTTAACTACTACCAATTTTTAAGAAAGCATCTCTTGATAAATAACACATTAAATTATGAAAACACTTATAGGGTCAACTGGAGTGAATGAAACCACACACTTCACGAGTAAAAATGTTTCATAAAACTGTGCTTTGAACTCATATTAATCATTTTCCACAAAATCTGGCCAGGTAGCTATGCAATCAGGATGCAATCCCATGAACACGGCAACCAATGGAGGAAGACAAGAGGGAACTTTCCATAACAGTACAGGCACAGGGTGATGGAGAGGGTTTCCAGTGATATTAATCCATCACTGTTTACACAGGGTTCTTCAGAAAAATCCCACAAAGTTCTAAAGTGCAGGCTTCCTAGAAGAGGATTTTGAAAGCCACACATAGAACATATCAACAATGAAAATCTCAGTGAGGTTGGGAGGCTAATGCTAATAAGAACTGAAGAAATTCAAATATTATATTTGTATACATAGTTATAAACATATTTTGAGCTGTTTTCCCATTTTTAGTTTATATTGTCCTTCTAATGAAAGTTTCAGTGCTCTCTTTATGCTCTTTCTCTCATAAATAAATAAATAAATAAATAAATAAATAAATAAAATCTTTTTAAAAAAGAAAATAATAGGGTTCTCATGGTCTAAGAAAAATTTATTTTCATCATTTCACCTCTTAATATTTATATCAGTCATTAAAAAGTAAATAAAAATTCTGGAGGATCTCAGAATCATAGTTTTCAAAGTTGTAAACAAGAAGTTCTTTTGAAACAGAATCACTTTCAGGGATTCTAATACATAAAATATCTAATAACATGAGAGATGCCTGGGTAGCTCAGTCAGTTAAATGTCCAACTCTTGATCCGAGCTCAGATCATGATCTCAAGGTTGTGAGATCAAGCCCTGTGTTGGGCTCCATGGAGCCTGCTTAAGAGTCTCTCCCTCTGTCCCTCACCCACTCTTCTCTAAAAAATATGTATGTGTATATCTCTAATAATATGAATGTATTTTTTAATTAGCCTAAGACTTCATTGTGTAGTAGAGAATATTTCATTATTTATGAACCCTCCAAAGCCCAGGACTTCATGAAAAACATTTTGAAAACCACCACTTAGGTTTATATTATCTGTCTCTAATTAATCCAATCCTTCAGCTTAGGCTAATGATTCAACTCACAAAAAATATCAAATAAATTTGGACAAAAATTTACTAAGGGAAGCTATAATCTCCATTGTTTTATAAAGGTCTTTAAAACCAGTCATGCAATCATTTTCTTTTTCTGGGATAACATGAGCTTTGAACAGTAGTGGTGCTAAGCCAGATAATATTGTAAACAGTATTAAATTATAGAGCCACAGAAATCTCAAGCAATACTGGAAAAGATCAATAGAGAAGTTGGCTTTCTTAGAAGCAGTGTCCAAAATCTAAACAGAAGTACACAATTATTTACGTGTGGTTGCTTCTCGAGCCGCCATGCTGCATGTTGCATACCTCTAAAAGATGGAACTGATAAATGGGTATATTTTCTTCTACATTCAAAGTATCATTTTAATGATTATCTTGTTTTCATTTGGAACAGCTGTCTACACAGGGCCTGGGCCAGTAAAGGACGTGTTCTCAACCACCAATAGAATGACTGTGCTTTTCATCACTGACAGACAATTGGCAAAAGGGGGATTTAAAGCAAACTTCACTACTGGCTACTACTTGGGGATTCCAGGTATGTGCACTTGGGACTGCATGTTGCGTGTAAACTTTTGGAGCAAAATGACAAAAACATACAGTATTTCAAAGCCTAAATATGACTTCTGTGTTTGCATTTGAATGTATTCATTCTTTCTCATCTTATCAGAGATTTCCTTCTTCCTGTATGTCCACATAATCACTCCCTAAGTCACTTCAAAACAGGAATCCATATCATTTTCAACAAATTTACTTGCTCTTCTATGGGATGTAAACTCATGAATTTTGTTCACTTAGGGGGGCATTTTAAATGGTAAAAGTGGGGTACTTGACACTATGGTAAAAGTGGGGTACTTGACACTATGAAGGAGGACTATTTGTCATGTCCCCTTTGCTAAGAGCATTTTCAGAGAGCAGCAGGGAGTCAGACAAGTGAGCTGTTTGGATTCCAGCAAGATCCAATTAAAAAATTAACATCATTAACTTCTTAAAGACAACCAGTATAAAGCCCCTGCCAGGAAGGATGAAGGAATTTGATGCTGATACTACTGGCATGCACAACCTTCTTACCCTATATATTTTTTATATCATAACATAATCAGCAGGAAAAAACTAACTTGCCTACCTGCTCATCATGGATATATCAGTATCTCTATACATGTAGGTGGGGGTGTGATGTAACTCATTGCATTTGACAACCTACAGAGAATTTGTGATCACTTGCTGCTCCTCTTGACCTATGATTTTTCTTATATTATTGCTCCTCAACTGTGGTTCTCTCCTTGTGCAAATATGTCAGAAAGATGGAATGCATGTCACTTCCTTTATCTATCTTTCTTTTTCATAGGAGATCGTGGTCAGTTTGTCTTCAACTAGAATGTCTAGAAAAGTTGTGGGGTCAAAGCAGGGATCTTCATCTGGCCTGTTATCTAATCTCTGTTCTTTCACTCACAACAAGCCTAGACTTTTGACTCCATCTCTGAAAGTTGTATGCTTTTAGCTTACTGCAAGGCTAATCCGTATCTTGTCTACCCTCTGGACATGAAAATAAGCCACATCAATTATTATCCAACTTACTTAGGTAGGAGTGAGTGGTAGCCCAATCAACTAACCTGCTCTTCTGGATTTCATGATTGGTTTTAGAAACAGCTGCTTGTTTATAAGCAACAAGTAACATGTGTCAATCAAAATATTCAATTAATGAAATAAGCAAACAAAACATTAAAAACTATGATAAATATATAGTATAATAAGATAGAAATAAAGACTTCGAGACCTACTGAAAATTAGATTTTACCTTAAAATACAGTCCAAAAAAAGAAGAAAATATAGAAAATGATATGATTTAAAATTATTTTACTTTACAAACTAAAATATTTTAAAATCATATTCATAATTATTTTTCAAAGAAGTAAAAAAGAAAATACAGTGACATGAAAGTAGGAATAGATGTTATATATTTATGTAAGTATATGTTTATATATGTATGTATAATGACTAAATTCCAGTTAACATAGAATGTCATATTAATTTCAGGTACATAATTCATTGATTTATCACTTATATATAACACCCAATGCTGATCACAAATACCCTCCTTAATTCCCATCACCCATCTAGCCCATCCCCCACCCACCTCCCTCCATCACCCCTTAGTTTGTTCTCTATTCTTAAGACTCCCATGTGGTTTGCTTCCCTCTCTCCCTTTTATCCCCCTCCCATATTCATCTGTTTTGTTTCTTAAATTCCACAGATGAGTGAAATCATATGGTATTTGTCTTTGACCAACTTATCTCACTTAACATAATTATTCTCCAGCTCAATCGACATCATTGCAAATGGCAAGATTTCATTTTTTATGGCTGACTAATATTCCATTGTGAGATATATATATATACATATATATATATATATATATCACAACATCTTTATCCATTCATCAGTCAATGGACATTTGTGCCCGTTTATACTTGCATTATCAACAATAGCCAAATTATGGAAAGAGATTACCCTTTTGGATCAAGCTACTGGTTCTGTTCCATGATAATTTTGTTGCTACTGATTTTACTATGATAACCATGTTTGCCTGGCAATATTTTTTTTTTACTCCCGTGCCTGCCAATATTTTAGTCCAGTTTTTTCTCTTTGTGGTGTACCTATTATTTTAATTTAAATTTAATTCAACATTTGATTTAACTCGTTAATCATTTGATTTTCTGATGATATTTTTATTTTTTTAAAGATTTATTTAATTATTCATGAGAGACACAGAGAGAGAGAGAGAGGCAGAGACATAGGCAGAGGGAGAAGCAGGCTCCTCGCAGGGAGCCAGATGTGGGACTCAATCCCAGGATCACTCCCTGAGCTGAAGGCAGATGCTCAATCGCTGAGCCACCCAGGCATACCTTCTGATGATATTTTTAAAAGGTAGATGAGTAACAAACAGATGAGAAAAAAATTATGTATAGGATTTAGTTCTTCTAAGATAAAAAAGACTTTGGATGTATATAGTTGGTAAAACCTAATTGGTTCTTATTGTTACATAGAAAGTAATTGTCACATAGAGAGTAAATGACATAATAAAGAATTTTAGTTAATAGTAGAAAATGCAAAATGGTTTCAGCATTATTTTTTAACTAAAATTATGACTTCTAGTTTTTTAGGAAAAAATAATATTTAATTTTAGCCTCTAGTATTTTGCTAAACACCTGCCCCCTAAAAATGATATTACAAATAAGTTGCCCTTAAGATATTTGGAAAACCATGGCCCTTTATGAGCAGAGGACTTTCCTGTTGAAACTACCACAGCCAAATTATTTTTTCTGATTTGATTAGAGGTCTTTGTTCATGCCATAAACAACAAAGTTTTTTGGTTGATTGAATACCTATTCAAACACTCTGGCACCAAAATATCCACATTTCCACAAAAATTACTGCACAAAAGTATGATCAAGAATGCAAAAACAATAGATAAAGAGATGGGAAAGTGTGAATACAGGAAAAAAATACCTGCAATGGGCCTGCAGGAAAAAAAAAAAAAAACACCAAGCCACAATTTGAAATTTGAAAATAATAAACATTCCCAAATGAAAAGAACCAGTCAAAACTAACAGTGACAGATATAAAGGGAGAAAATTATGTATTTTGACCAAAAAAATCACAGTCTTACTGTTGTCTGTAAAAATTTTAATAAGCAGTAATCAGTATTATAAAATTTACTATTTAAACTTTTAAATTTCAAGAGGGATATATTTTGACAAATTCCTAAACAGAATAAATATAATCATTTTTCAAATGTGTTAAAAATCAAATCAGCTTTGGGGTTCCAGGGTGGCTCAGTCAGTTAAGCATCTGACTCTTGATTTCTGACCAGATTTTTTTTTTTATTTAAGAGAGAGAGAGAGAGCTCACAAAGGATAGGGAGAGAAAGAAGCAGGCTCCCCACTGAGCAGGGAACCCAGTGTGGGGCTTGATGCAGGGCTCAATCCCAGGACCCTGGGATCATGACCTGAAACAAAGGCAGATGCTTAATGACTGAGATACCCAGGTGCCCCTAACCAGGTCTTGATCTCAGGGTCATGGGATCCAGCCCTGTGTTGGGCACCTCGCTCAGCAGGGAGTCTGCTGGAGATTTTCTCTCTCCCTCTCCCCCTGCTCCTCCCTTCTCTCTTTCTCTTTCGATCTCTCTCAAATAAATAAATAAATCTTTAAAAAGTCAAATCAGCTTTACATATTACTCATTTCATGATGAATACTTAAAGACAGTATAGTGGTATTTTGAAGATTTTTTCGAGAATTGAATGTATGGGCATCAATATCACCTATTTGGCATCTGCCACCTATTATTTGAATGCAAAAGAATTAATTCTTCAGAGTATCTTAAAGTAGTCCAAGAAAATATCTAATACCTACTCTGGGTCTCCCAAATTTTTTCCAAGAATGATGTCATGGAAAGAACTTTTGAAAGAGTATTATTTTTTTTTGAATCATTATATTGTATAACTGAAGCTGAAACAACAATCTATTTTAACTACAGGAATTAAAATTAAAAACTTAGTTTAAAAATCTGAATTAAGAAAAAAGAGAAGAACTGAATAATTTTTCTATAACTATATAGAAATGGCCAATAACTACGTGAAAAGATGTTCAACATCACCCATCATTGGGGCAATGCAAATCCAAGGCACAATCAGATATCAACTTACACCTGTTAAAATGGTTATTCTTGAAAAGACAAGTAATAAATAACAAGTGTTGGTGAGAATGTGGGGTAAAAGGAACCCGTGTAGACTATTTATGAGAATGCAAACTGCTACAGCCACTGTGGAAAACATTATGAAGATTCCACAAAAATAAAAATTAGAACTATTTACATAATCCAGCAATCCCACTTGTGGGTATAAATCCAAAAAAAAAAAAAACTGAAATCGGAATCTCAAAGAGATATCTGTACTTCTATGTTCATTGCAGTGTATTTACAATAGCCAAGATAAAGAAACAACCTCAGTGTCAATCTACAGATAAATGGATAAAGGTCATGTGGTGTATTATATTCACTGCAATACTATTCATCCATGAGAAAGAAGGAAATCTTGTCATTTGTGACAACATGGATAAAACTTGAGGACATTATGCTAAGTGAAATAAATCAGAGGAAGACAAATACTACATTACATCATGTAGGTGGAATCTAAAAAAGCCAAACTCTTAGAAATAGAAAACAAACAAACAAATAAGTAAATAAAAAAGTGTATTTTTAAAGAAATGAAGATGAATTATAAAACCAATTGAACTAATGAGATAAAAACTTAACTCTAACCAATAGAGAAATGGATTTTTTCATAGATTTAAACAATTGAAATAATTATTGGGCATTCCACCATCCACAAAAAAAGAAACCATACAAAATTTTGATACAAAATTTTAGAGAAGTGCTGGTCTTTTTAAAAAAAAGCTTAAATCTTAAATGAGAACAATGGAAAGAGATGGAAAGAAAAGATCACAAAAAGGAATACAAAAACAAATCTCTTCCACAAA